GCCCAAAACTTCACAGGTTTGGTAACGATGCAGCCATCAACGCATCTAAGCGTATTATGGGATGTCATCAAATGCCGTTGGCATGGCAACAGATCATTCGCCATCATGTTAGTTCAAAGGTTTGCAGTTCAAATATTCTACTGCTTTTCCAAGCCTTTTACTTTCTTTTCTTCTCTCATCACACATTCAAGCCCCCAGTGTTCATGTATTATTTCAATCTAAATTATTCACTTTCTTCTTACACATTACATTTCGGCATAGCAGTTTAGCGTCAGCTTTTCAGCATAAAGCATTCCCACTAGCAATTTCTTCAGGAATTGCATTCTCTAGTTTCTCTGATGTGCCTCGTTGTCTCGTCTGTTCTCCTGCCTGTGAACATTGCACGCCATGTTAAAGGATGATTACATTCCTAAAATGCTTCTCAAGGAGAATAAGCTCAGTGGAGGAGCCATGAGCGAGGATGCACAGGCATGACAATGTACTGATAAAGCTTTTCAATTCAATATGACAACTTGAATCACGTTTTATGCCCGTTGCCTCTACTCCTCGCACCTTCCATCTCCATCGCTCACGTTTCAGGTCGGAGGAACATAAGGAGAATGTTTAAACTGAGAAATAATAGATTGTCTGAGACTATGGTTATATTAACCTGCAGACGTGTCTATTATTTTGTGTTCTTCATGTCACTGGATGCCTGTTTGAGCACATACAGTTCTCAATTTTAAGTAGCATTTTAATACAAGTGAATAAATACATTCTCAAGAAGTAATACAAAAAGTTTCCCTTTACTTGCCTTGTGTCAAATTGTGAAAAACAAGTGCATGTTTAAATCCTTATGCCATATGGTGCCCTTATTAAGATTATAAAAAGGGGGAGTTAAGTGGAAGATACATTTAAAAAGTCATACAATAATTGTTATCAAATGTTTATATTAGAAATGTGCAATTTAAAACAACCACAAATCGAAGTTTAAAATTAGTTTGCAGAGTCATGAATCCTCTACCGTTTACACTGCAGCAACTTCATCCACACCTCTGTATCCCACCTGCAATCAAATCATAAAAAGCTAATAATAAATTAATCATCAACTACAGGATATTTATTAGTATTAAAGACATATACAAAATGTCCACTCTGCAGCAAGTTTCATGGCAGTGGGTTGTCCGGTGTGACTTAGATGCAACAGGAAGGAGTCTGGGGCAGACCCAGGAGCTCAGTCTGAACATGCTTCACTTTCACATGTCTGGGGAATTCAGCATGATCCATAACTGAACCCCGCGTGTTGGAACCAATACTTCTTTGATGAGATGACCAAAAGGTCATTAAAGAGGTGGAGGTATACACTTGAGAAGCAACTGTGTCTCATGGGACCCTGGTGCAGCAGAACACGCCCGCTTACAACCAGAGGGACAGACTGCAACGAGGAAGAGACATTCAGTCAGATTTGATAAAAGACTTAATCCTGTTTTTTGTAACCTGTGTTAAGAAACTCTCCACCTTCATTTTGCCAAAATCCAGCAGCCTGTCCAGATAAACCAGCTCCTCAATGTGTTCCATTTTTCAGACCCCCTTATCACACTCTGTTACAATCTGTGGGTCAGAGAAGATGCATAACATTTCACATTTTTGGAGTCTATTTGCTGATCACATGCCTTCGATTGCTCACAGACCCTGTAAAACTCTTACCTCGTGGATGGCTGCTATTGCTTTTTCGAGATTGGATTTAGAGTCGGCGTCTGGTTTGGTCTGTTTCAGGATGCTCTGAAATGAAAGACAACCCAATACAAACCTTAGAGGAGGTCTGATTTAGACCTCTTCTAAGGCACAATGTGTTTCAGACCGTCTGAAACACATTGTGCTGGTTAAATATATGTATATGCATGCAAACAATTAAAATATCATGAGACGCTAACCTGAAGGAGGAGTTTAATACGTGTAATTCTTTGGAAAGGAAGTACAAGGAATGACTTCAGGATCTGTCTTTGACAGTCTGTGTGACTCAATGTTCTTGATTAAATGCAGAACATCTCTGTTCTGCTGCCTTGGAAATGGAAGAGATTGAATGTATAGTTATTGGTGTTGTGGAGCGCCAGCAGTAATGTAATGTACAGAGACTTACAGCAGCTGATTGAACATCGTCTCCTGGTACCTCATGTTGGTCACATACGGCACATAGACCCTGTGAAACTCAGGGCAGTGCTGCAGCACAATGTCTTCCACCTGAGAAGTCAACACACTCTCCTCCAGTTGGCCTTCCAGATCCATAAGGAACCTATAAGTGACAAAAACTCTAATTTAGCAGACGTAAACACTTAAAAAAAAAAGATGTAGTGATATGTGGAGTTCTCACTTTTTACTGGCTGCCATTATTTGACAAATGTTGGAAAACAAATTGTGATGCTCCATTGGAGTCAGGGACTGTTTCAGTTCCTTCGAAGCATAGAAGTGTTTGACAGCAATAGTAAGGCTGTTTAGGTAAGACACTTCAGAGCCGATCAACTCAAACATCAACTTCAGAGGGAGAAAAAGAGAAGAATTCATTATTTATACATTTCTGTGACAATGAATTTCTCTGCAAAAGTAGGAGGATATTTTGGTTTCTTATTGTCAGCAAGACTAATAAACCTCACCAATAAATTTGTATAGTTTCACAGCTAAAATAATTCCCTGGAAAATAGTATATTTAATCCCGTTTTGGGAACATTTCCAAAAAACTAAAGTGTCCAGCTTTTAATGAAGTTACTGGGCCTTTAACAATAATCTGTGAGCTGCTTCTGAGGAGGATTGGATGCAGAATTTTCCACTCACCTCCTGAAGGCGAATCTCTCTGTCTGTCAACCTTCTGAGCAGGCCAGACGCCTTCACCTCCTCTAGATCTTGCCAAAGGGTCGAACAGTCAAGCATCCTATATTCGCAGCAATGGATAGTTGAAAGCTTTTGCTTTTGAAAGCTACTGCAGCGCTGCTGCTGTGGCAGATACAGTCTGATAGAGTCTGTAGCTCCTCGGGGATTGTTAGTGAGCACAAAAAAAATGTTATATGGTTTGTTCAAATCATCACTCTCTCCGCCTGCACAGTAGTCCTGGTAGTCCTGGTACAGAGGGTCTTCAGAGCAAACAAGGAAATGAAGGAAAGTCACATGACATGGCTGTAGGTTACACTATTAAACCACTCAATAGCGCAGAGAAAGATACACTCACATAAATTGAAGTACTTTGACTGGAAGGACACACTCAGCTCTTCCTCCTCAGCTGTATCTGCTGCCCTGGGTTTAATAAAGCAGTTCACAGTTAGTTAAAACGTTTAAAATGTTATTAATACAGACAATTCTGGATTGTCCTCCTCTAGCTAGTTTGCTGGCTACTAGGTTTCAAATCCCAAATTAAAGATACGTCTATGGGAGGGATCTAAAAGGACAAAGATATTTCATCGTCACAATCCTACAAATAAAGTTAACTTAGTTATCGAAGTGCACCATGCGGTCCTTACCTTGAATCCTGAAGCTCTTCCAGGGAGTCACTGCTCCCATCATGGCCTCCAATGTCTTCATTTGTGCAGTCACATTGATCCATAGCGCCTCAGTCTCTCACACAGACTCTTTATTTTAAAACTCTGACTAAGGTGTGGATGTGTTTGTCTACTGAGGGATCCTTCCTTTGACCCAGAGACACTCAGATTGAGTGAGCACAGGCTGATGTAGTCTGAACTGAGCAGCAATCACAATAACTGGAACCAGGTGTGTTTCTTTTCAAGCCTCTGGTGATCACCTCCGTGTCCACTAGAGGGCGCTATAACCTAGCTGTTCCTGTCTTTGCAAGACGAAGGTGGATTTCAAGACTGACTCATGTCTGAATGCCTTGTTGGGATGTGATGAAGTACATTCCTCCTCAGATATTGGAGTTAAGTACAGTACTGAGGTAGAAATACTTGTACTTTAACTAAGTAGTTATCTTTCACTACATTTTGGAGGCTAATATTGTACTTTTTACTTCACTAGATGTATAGGACAGGTTTAGTTGCTAGTGACCAGATTCAGATTGAGCTAATACTAAATATAAACAAACTAATAAATAAACATTGACATACAATTATAGGTTTAAATATCCAGCAACAGTATACAAAGTAATTTCAATTAACTCCATCTTTACCAACCGTGATGCATCAACAATCACAATACAGTCATTTATTATATATTAGTCTGAAATGGGCCATTATCCTTAACAAGTACTTTTGGTACTTAATATGTATTGATGCTATATATTGATAATTGTGTTATTTGACTTAAGGAAGATTTGTAATGCAGGACTGTAAATTAAGGGGAAGCTTTTATAATTTAGTATTACTACTTTTACATCCGAGTACTTATTCCACCATTGTCTAAAGTTGATCAAGGTAACACCATTACATTTTATTCTTGGCAGTATGATGTACTGTAATATTTCATTTCTTACTTTGTGCAAAAAAAAAAACACATTTTAAAGAATCAGTCCAGTAGCATTAAAGCCATAGAACCTGATCAGTAAGGTACTGCGTAACATATTCAATCGAACAAATATACATTACACTTGCTAAATAATTGTCAATACATCTGCCATAAACACTATTGTTTGAATGCTTCTTTTTTTGTTGTTGCAATACAGAGGGTTGCTGTGATTTCCAAGTTTGAAACTAGTTTTGAGTTAGTGCCAATTACAGAGGGCCTCAAATATCAAATCCACCTCTGCGGTTATTACCATGATGAGGTAGCTCTGACAATGAAGCTGGAAGTCAAAACAACATTTGTTTAGCTAGATGTTAAGAGGAATTTGAATTAATCGGTTATGATTTAACAAGTACATTGCATTAACTGAGAGGAGCAAGTCAAATGCAGTGCTTTACACTAAATTAATATGATTCGTACAAATTCCATTTCAACTAGAGTATTTCATTTTGATGTGAGTTTTAACCCCAAATGTAACAAAGAGGCTGTCTGCAGAACAAAAAAGGGACAGCACAAAAGAATAAGGATTACAATATTTATTGTTAAAAAAACAAACAGACTAGACATAAATACTATGGTTTTGGTCACATGATTACCCTGTGGTTGGAGAGACAAAACATCTTCAAACATAAAGACAATACATGCAAAAAAGGTTCAAATAAACAACATGCAACAAAACAACTACATGCAAATGATAAACAGTCCAAAAAGAACAGAGTATAAATATACACAGGTTCGGCAGAGGGCTTTAAGGATCCATGGTGAAAAATAAAAACGTACAAGTTTTGGCACTGTTGGCACACTTCACTGAAATCGACACTACTGTACAAGTTTTAAAACATCCACACAAACACGGTTTTTATCTCAGATAACATTTGAGAAAAAAACAAATTAGTGGCAATACACTGCACTCTAATAGAAAACTTTAGACACCACACTGTACCTGCAGCAGTAGCATTAACATCTGCTGATTCAACAGACTGAGATCAAGTGACAGGCACAACACGTCCATACTGTTCATCACATCTTCCTCCATGGATCTGCACTTCCTTACCAGATACAGAAATATGTTCTCTAACCAAAAGTTGACTTAAGTGCAGGATCATGCAACATCTGAGTGACACATGACTCAGCAGTTTTCTTGAACACATGCTTCTTATAACACAAATCCACATTTTCATCCCTCCTGTAAATATTACTGCAACAGTAAGTGGTCTTTTGATTTGGAATTACTAGGGCCACTGCTAGGAAAAAAAAAAAACATGTAAGAAATTGAGAATAAACCATTACACCCCAAAATGTTCAATCATGAAAAATACTTTGAAAAACATCAGGATATAAAGACAGGAAAGAAAAAAAAAACTTGAAAAGTAATGCATTTTTGAGGAAAAAAAGTTGTAATGTTACAATAAAATGTAATGAATAAAAAATAGTAACATTTCAAGAAAAAAATCTGGGAAAAAGAGCAACATCATGAGTACTAAGTCATGGTATCATGAGTACTAAGTCATGGTATCATGAGTACTAAGTCATGGTATTATGAGAACATGTTTTTCCTAACATTGGCCGTAAAACTCATTGTAAGAATGATTGAATGCCAGTGCAGCTGTGTCATTGTGAACATGACACAGCTGCACTGGCCCCGGTTTCAAAATGAATGCAACCATCACCATGTCTAACACACATAAAGACAGTTTGTTGTAGCAAATTAATTAAAAGAAATTGTTGAATAAATACACCATCATTTGATATTAGATTAAAACATATTTTTGGAGTCAGCATATTTAGTTCTCATGTCCCTCATATGCTTATCCTGGAAACAAGTTGGCAGACATCGATTAAAGGCCAGCTTCAATTCTAGTCCCAAAAACATCAATAAACTTGTGCTTAAATTATTGAGACATATATATATTCCCAAATAGGAAACTTTAGACATAGGTAAAATGTATTGAGGGACAATCACATGGACTGACAGGAATTGTATGACACAAACTCCAGTTGCCTCCCTCCCAGGTTTTGTGGATCAAAGTAGAAAAGCCGTCAAAAGAGCAGCAAGTCAAGAGAAACCCTCGTGTCTCTTAAATGTTCACAAATGAGGATCCACACTAATGAAGAGAGGGTAAACTTAATACATAAGACAAATATTTAAAAAAAAAAAAGGGCTTATAATGGCTACTGTATTAGAGCGGTGTGATATTGCACTTAACGTTCCTCAGGCCGTCTCAGAAGCACTTCCTGAAGACGATCTGCGGCCCGTGCTCCTCGTATTCCTCCTGGCTGATCCAGGCGGAGCTGAAGGCGGGCAGGTTGGCCAGCACTGCCCCCCCGCTCCACACTGAGAAGTCTCTGTCCTTGGGGCTGGTGACGCGAACGCTCTCCCCCGTGTCCGTGGGAACCAGTCCTTTGATTTCAGCCTGGAGCCGCTCAGGAAGGCCGGGCAGCAGAGTGTTTCCGCCTGCAGCGAGAGAAGGCATTCAGTAAAGAGTGGGACATTCACTGGAACAGGACTGAAGCAAAGCATCAACACTACTGTGCAAGTTTTAAAAATCCATTCAGACAACATTTGAGGAAAACTAAGAACATTGGTAGCAATACACTGCACTCAAATAGAAAACGTTAACTTTAGACACCACACTGTACCTGCAGCAGTAGCATTAACATCTGCTGATTCAACAGACTGAGATCAAGTGGCACAACACGTCCATACTGTTCATCACATCTTCCTCCATGGATCTGCACTTCCTTACCAGATACAGAAATATGTTCTCTAACCAAAAGTTGACTCGGGTGGAAGATCATGTAACATGACTCAGCGGTTTTCTAGAACACATGTTTCTTATAACGCAAATCCACATTTTTTCCATCTCCTGTAAATATTACTGCACCAGTAAGTGGTCTTGTTCAAATATACTGGTTTCAGCAAGAGAAATCATTCAGAAAAGAGCATCACATTAACTGGAACATTTCCACCTTATAAGGATACAACCAAATAAAATAAACAAATCACCAAATAAGAGGAATATTGGAAGAAAAGTACTTGTACTGTAATTTCATGACTAGTTTAATGTACCACTCAATGCAATCTGTGCCTCCTGATACTTTCTAATTTGACCACTGCATTCGGCAACTCTTAATCTTTAAAAGCAAATACGGATGAGCCATAAAATCATATTCCTAAGTGGTGAAATCACGCTTTTAAGACCTTTTTCCGCATTCCATCTGCAAATAAACTTCATACTGAAGAATCATTTCTTGTTCTGCATCACTGATAGATTGTCACATTTATTGTAGAGAAATAAATGTGGCATAAATGTACAATTAGTGCCCCACAAAATGACATATATAACTTATTCCTCAGTTTAGAATATTTACCTCTCTCACTTTGACTACAAAGACACACTCTTTCAAATAACTTGTTAGTGAACAGTGGTATCTGCTGAACATAAACAGTGTCTGCAGCCTAAGTAACCATGGCAATCTAGCCAGGTTAAAAGAGAGCCACTTTGGTACTATAGAAAACTCTGGCTTTAGGCTCATCATACCTCGCTCTGATCTGGCTTCATAATAAACCCCTCCTCAGCATTAAAGCATGGCTTAACAACAACCCTCCGTTACCTGACAGGACGATGTTTCCCAGGAAGCTGCGCCGCAGGTCAATGTCTGAGCTGAGGATTGACTTGTAAACGCTCTCATGCATCCCATAATGGTCCTGTCCAATCAGCTCGGGTTTGAAGAGAATCTCAGGGGCCCTGGAGGAACAGGGGAAGTTATAAAGCTATTTGAGTGGACTGTTAGAAGAGACATCTGCCCTCTGAAGTGGGCTTTGACATTATTATTATTGTACAGATTAAGTCTGATTTATCCTTAAACTGGTGACTCCTGTCCTGACCCATGTTAGAATCATGAGAAACGTCAGCAATGCCTGGGAGGCAAGTTCACTTGAACCGCAGACTCTCAAGTTTCCAAGCCGAGTCCCCACGTGCTATTTAGCATTAGACACTAGCTGAGGCTAATGTTGGTGTTAACGTTTTGCAGGTTTTGTGTCAAACATCAAAGTACTGGATAGTAAAAATGACATGAAGATTGAAAGTCTTTCAATATGCTTTGCACTTTCAAGCAGTGGTGTAAGGTAACTAAGTACATGTACTCAAGGAGTGTGCTTAAGTCAAAATGATGAGGTACGTGCACTTTACTTGAGTATTTCAATTATTGGCTACTTTGTACTTCTACTCTACTACAATTTAGAGGTAAATGTTGTACTTTTACTCCACCACATTTATTTAATACCTTTAGTTACTTTACAGATGTGGATTAATGATGAAATCTAATCAAGTGTTAAATCAGATTTTAGTTCCACCTGGAGTAAATTCACAAGCTACCCTGCAGTATACAAAGTCATTCAAACTAGCTGCACCTTTACCAGCTTTGAGAACACTTTCATGATCAATCATTATAAAACATATCATATATATTATTCTGAAATCTGCATTGTGAGTACTTTTACTTTTGGCACTTTAAGTATATTTTGATGCTAATACTTTTACTTGAGTAACATTTTGAATGCAGGACTTTTACTTGTAACAGAGTAATCCTACACTCAGATCTTGTACTTGAGTAAAAGTAGAAGTACCAGAGTACTTCTCCCACCTTTGCTTTCAAGTAAGCTTTATATCTCAGAGGTGCCATGCTAATGATAGATCCGTTTAGTATGTTTCACAGAGCCAATACTGTCCTGCAATGCTGAATGAAATGAGTTTCCAGCCTTCTAGTGTACATTGAGTGTCCTCGATGTGCAGACGGTTACCTGAACCTCTCCGAGCTGAGGGTGACGATCTGTCCATCCGGCATGTTGTAATGCATCTCTCCGCTGGACGCCCCCCCCTGACTCAGCTCAGCTTCATAGTTGAGAGCCACACAGCAGCACTTCTCCTTCATCTCCCTCACTATCTCCATCTCCGCTGAGGTGCGCATGCTGACCCCTTGTTCCTGCAGCAGCTGAAGCACAGGCACACAGAACGTCAGTCAGGGGATCGAAGAGGCAGTTACCTACAGTTTCAATCACACAGGGACTGGAACACGCTGCTCTGTGATGTGGACAGCCACAAATCACTAGTCAATTTAAACTAAGTACCTTTTGGGTAAATGCGTATGCTACTGTTGGGAGACATTCTGGGTTATTCAATACCCAAGCAATGCACAATTGTATACCTTGGAAATATAAATGTGTGATTGATAATGATAGATATATGAGAGCAGTGGATGGATATATAAGAGCGGTCTATATAATGTAAACAATTACTTACCAACTTAGAGTGAGAAAATATTTTTGAGATGAAATGGAAGATTTATCACACAGTGGGAAATGTCTAAGGCAAACAAATGTATTCTTTTATTTATGTCTTTATACTTTAGTTCTCTACATTTTTTCTAAGTAAGAGAGGCCACAAGTTAACATGTACAATGTTTTATGTTGATTATACAAAAAAAAAAAAAAAAATAGTCAGTAGTTTGACTAACGTTTATTTGTATACTTTGAGATAAGTGTCATGTAAGAGATGTTCCATTATGACTTTTGATATGGGTCACAAACAGATCATTGGTTCATCTACTTGAACAGGTATCCCAGTGGGGTATAGCCGAGAACAGCTGTGAGCAGGAGAGTTATGATATCAATCAGAAGAGTATTTCGGATCATTGAAAAGCTGCATCAATTATGGATTAAAAACTTTAAAAACATTTGAAGCCTTTATGGCAATTCAATTGCAAGAGGCCCTTCTTATCATCTTAATGAATCAAATGAAATTACAAACTGGCATTCAGTCATATTAACAGGGTTGGATGAATAACATGTACATTGTTTAAAACATGGAAGCTTATCAAAACAATATTTTAAAGTAGGCAAAGGCTGTTTTTGACTACAGTTATTGTGGCAAGTGTCCAAATTAGATGGTTGTTGTATCATTGCAATATTTACTTAACCCTCCTGTTGTCTTCGGGTCTAATCTGACCGATTTACTACTTTCATCAATCATAACTTTTTTGTTTTACATTCGATTGCATTAAGGCTTTATGATATCCTTCACAGTAGACATTTGAACATATAAAATGGCTGATCACCACTTTCATTGAAATTTGGATGATTTAGTCAACTTTGAAACACCCATGGTGTTCCCGGTCAAAAATGACCGCCATAAAGAAAAGGAATTAGTAACCATCCGGATCAGATAAAACACACACACACACACACACACACACCCACATATTCTAGATGTGTTCCCCCCCTCTTATGTGCCCATCCCCCCCCATGTGAATCACACCTGGCACACGCAATACATGTTCAGTGTCTATTCTTTGTATATTTACTGCAGTTTCTCATGTATACCAGTAGTCTGATACAATATGTACAGTTTGAAAGGGTGTTAAAGGAGAGGTGTCATGGCCATTTCCACTGATCATAATTCCATTGTTGAGGTCTACTAAAATAGATTTATACTGTGCATTTGTCCAAACTCACATTGGTTTCTCATACAGCATCTCTGTAAACTATGTGTATTCACTGAATTTCACTCTCTGCCTTTAACGGCTCGTTGTAGCTCCAATAGCTCCAGCCCCCACCCTCCCTGTGAGCACAGTGTGCTCTGATTGGTCGGGACGTTGTGAATCGCGCTGAGCTCCGTGGAGGTGTTGTTTCCTTGTTTAGGATACATAGCGAAACACAGCCAAACTCATCCTGAGCACACACAAACTCACAGCCGAAGTAAAAACAATAAGTGTGGCTTGATATTGAGTAAGAAAAAGGTTGATAAACGCTGTGAGAATGGGTCTGCAGAGAGAATTTTGCCGCGATCCCAACTGTCTGTTATCAGCCTGCAGCCAGGGAGGAGAAATCAGCAGAGCTGCCTGTGTGTGAGGAAGTCCGTGGATTGGTCAATTTGGACCAATCAGCGGGGGCTTAACGTAACGGCTCCGCAGACGTAACGTAACGGCTCCACGGATTGGTCCATTTCGTTCCGGGTACGGCTTGACATCATGCCGTACCCGGAACGAAATGGAAGAATCAAATGGACAATGACGTATCTCCAACGAGGCGTTTTGGGGAGGTATTTTCTGTGTTAGAGTTTTACTCGCTACAGGGTGTACTTTGAGGGTTTTGACTCTGCACACCGTTTACATGCATAAAAACCTTCATAACACACAAGGGGACGGGTAATAACCGGAAAAGCATGACACCTCTCCTTTAAATGAAATTTGGTGATGATTTTTGTGTTAATGTAATAGCAGTTAAAACAGGACCGGTCAAACTTGACCGCGAACACCAAAGTAAGGGGGGGGGGAAACAAAGACAATAGGAGGGTTAATGAAGCACGATCCAATAATCCAATGAATGTCCGCTGACGCTCGAAGCACCCTGTGCAACATTGGCTAAATATTCATGTAAATAATTCCTCTTTGTACAACATTTTTCACAAAACCCCACACCCAAAAAGCCAATCGGAAGCGTTATCCATTCACATTACTGCCAATAAACTGTGAAACACAATCAAAGGAAAGGAGAGGAATACCTTTTTCAGATGCATTGTAACATCTACACCAGCCAGAGGGAAGCGCTGCACTGCATGAGGCAGACAGTATCCCTCAAACACCGGCACGCTGTGGCTCACCCCGTCTCCAGAGTCAAACACCACACCTTTAAATACAAATAAAAGAGCAATGATTTTCAAATGGATCACATTTTTTGATCCAATAACATAAAAATGGCTTTAAGAAAGAAGTTTAAACATGAAGATGCAAGTTCAAGACCTTATCATGAAGACTTTATGGCTTAATAAAGTGGTGTTTGTAGCCACCGTAAAGCACAAGTACACAGAGTTGTATATATCATAAAAAACGGTGTTATTCATGAGCCTATGTCTAACACTACGGAGGAGCTTAGCTTATGGTTTCACTCCACATGTAAAGCTGCTATGGACACTGTGGCTCCATTCAAAACAAGGCAACCCAAAACTAAATCTGAGCCTTGGCTAAATGCCACGACTCGGACTGCCCGACGTGAATGCCGTAGAGCTGAGAGAAGATGGAATAAGGACAAACTACAAGTCTCTTTTCAAATGCTGAGGCAGTGTTAGCGTCTCTATCAGACAACTGTGAAAGAGCCAAAAAGAAAAGAATTCTCTGACATCATTCTTTAAACTGTCACAAACCTTGTGTACTGTTTCAGACAATAGATTCAGTTCTTAATGCCCCTCAGACTACCTGTGTGGAGAACTCCCCTGCAGTCTGTGAACATTTTCTTCAATTCTTTATTAATAAGGTACCTTCAGCTAGGGCTCAAATCACTGCTCCAAACGACACCTCTTTCTCTGCTTTGCTGTTTTTGACCGTTTTGAGCCTATGACTCTGTCCTCTGTGCAGGAGATTGTCTCCAAGATAAAGCCCTTTGGTTCTCCAATCGACCCTGTCCCTCCTCGATTTTTTTAAAGAGGTATTCCCCACTGTAGGACCATTTGTTCTTGACGTTTTTAACAGCAGTCTGCTCACAGGTGTTGTTCTGGAAACCTAGTCTGGATCCCACAGTTCTTGCAAACTTTAGGCCCATTTCCAAATTGCCTTTTATGTCGAAAATCCTAGAGAAGATTGTTTAGTCAACTTCTCGCTTTTCTGGAAGAGTACAATGTACAATGTACTCGAGGTCTTCCAGTGGACCATGAGATCCTGATAGCTCGTTTGGAGCAGTGGGTGGGCATAGGGGGCAAAGCCCTCGAATGGTTTAGGTCGCATCTGACTGGTAGGACTTTCTGCATCGGCTCTGAGTCCTCGTCTGCTCCTCTCCTTTGTGGGGTTCCACAGGGCTCAGTGTTAGGCCCCCTGTTATTCTCCCTCTATTTGCTCCCTCTTGGGTCCATTCTTAGGAAGCACGGCATCGCTTTTCATTGCTATGCAGACGATTGCCAAATATGTGCCACTTAAAAAGAACGACTCGCACTCAATTAAACCACTGTTAAACTGCCTTGAAGACATTACGTCCTGGATGGCATGCAACTTTTTAAAATTAAACGATGACAAAACCGAAGTGATGGTTTTTGGTGCCCCTCGGACCACTCCTATAGACCTAGGATCCTTGGGCCACTCCACCAGGCCTACCATCACAAATCTTGGTATAAAGATGGACCCTGAACTCAAGCTGGACAGCCAGATCAAGGCAGTCGTTAAAAACAACTTCTTCCACCTCAGGCAGCTAGCCAAAATAAAGCCTTTTATAAATAGTGACCTTTTTGAAACAGTAATCCATGCATTCGTCACCTCCCGCTTGGATTACTGTAATGCACTATATATGGGGATAAGTGCGTCCTCCCTTGCTCGCCTGCAGATGGTGCGAAACGCAGCAGCACGGCTGTTAACTGGCACACGCAAACACGAGCACATTTCCCCCATTTTAGCTTCACTCCACTGGCTGCCCATTCATTCGAGGATTCATTTTAAAAAACTCTTTTATTTACTTTTAAAGCCCTCAATGGCCTGGCCCCGCCCTACCTCTCTGAGCTGTTACACAGCTACACGCCCACTCGCACTCTCAGGTTAGCTGATCAGTTGCTCCTGAGGGTGCCAAAAACAAAGTCAAAGCTCAGAGGGGACCGTGCTTTCTCTGCTGCCGCCCCTAAACTGTGGAACGACCTGCCCTTGCTAATCAGACAGGCTCCCACACGGTCTGTTTTTAAATCCTGTCTAAAAACTCACCTCTTCTCCTTAGCATTCGAAACCAAGTTTTATTTGCTTTCAGTGGTCTATTGTTTTTACTATATGGCTGTTTTTTGTTGTTGTAATTGTTACGTTTATTCTGGTTTGTTTTGTGTTCGTACCTTTTATGTGATTTTATACTTATTTTTATGTTTTGTGAGCCGAGTTGTGTGATTTTATATTTGATGTATCTCTCTGTACAGCACTTTGGTCTGGAGGTTTTAAAGTGCTTTATAAATAAAGTTAGATTGGATTGGAGAGTTGGCCTACGTACCGGTGGATCTCCCCGCTGCGTAAAGGGCCAGCACGGCCTGCAGGGCCACGTATGTGAAGGGAACATTGAAGCACTCGAACATGATCTCCACCATGCGCTGCCGGTTCCCCAGGGGGTTCATGGCCGCCTCCGTCAGCAGGACAGGGTGATCGTTCGGGTCCACACCCAGCTGCTGGAACGTGTGATGCCAAATCTGAAACAAGAAAAGGGAGTCAAAGAAGTCAAAGCTCCCCTCTCCATGGTTACCTACTAAAGGTGTACCTTTCTTCTAGCTGAGCAATGTGATCACTGGACTACTAAATGTCAGAACACAATGTGTGACCGGGGGAAAAATAAGAATTGGACGGCAGTGGGTTTCTGTCCAGCTGTGTTGTTCTAAGAACAGATTTCTTTTTTAAAAGGAAGAAGCAGAAAAATGAGAATTGATAACGTTTCATTTCAGAATTGATGCATCATCTGCTTTTGGGAGGTTGGGATTAACAGAGACATTAAGAAGCAATTTAGTACAAATATGGGCCTATTAATATCTGCGGCTGATCTATTTACAACATAAAACAAAATTCTAAAATGGATAGCGCTTAGTTATGCGGCACCAACACTCATCGGGTAAAATTAAATCAATGAAGTGGTCGACTAAAATTAAAGCACCTATTGTGTCGTATACCATTTTTTCCCCCTTTTATTGAATGGTTAGCTACCTGTTCGCGGATGTCGCGATATCGAAAGCAAACTTAACCAAGAAGATTTCATGTATTTCACCCTTTTCAGCCATCAGAATACTACAGTATACCATACTAATACCATAGTACGCTATACTACACATGCTCTAATGATTATCAAACAGCTACTTTGGAATGCCAATTAAACTTTAAGCAGAGAAATTAGATCAGTAAAGATTGAAAGGTTTGTTCTTTCACACCACCATTCACCATTTATGACTTGTCAACTTTCTGTTCTGTTTTTTTCTTGTGTGAACACAATACACACTCATCCTGCTTAAAATCAGTATGAAGTTTGGAATTGGGACAGCATAAAGGTAATACTTCATGGGAATGATCCGTTATGGTTAAACGTGCCCTCATATTCCTGCATTCAACAAGCAGTCCCATCTGATTTATGAATGATCAGGTACAGTCAAATGACAAACAATGAATGCTTTGCCCACAAAATGACCATTGATTTATGACTTTCCAACCCGTAGTTACGTTGATTTCTCCCAAAAAAAATTTGTTCTTCCAAGCCTCCACATTTAATGAAGAATTATACAAATATTTGTTATACAGTAATAGATTAGTGAAAGTGTTATGACGGGAGAAAATGTGACTTGAATTAAGTGGAAAAGTTGTGGAACTGATCCACTCATACTATACTATTTATATAAACACAGTGCCGGGTTTTAAAGCTTGCCCCTCTTGAAAATAACTCATCCATTTCATAGGGATATACTCCCAGTGACATCATACTGTACCTACTGTATCAGGCATATCCAGTCCCACTTACCTTTTCCATGTCGTCCCAGTTGCGAATGATCCCGTTCTTTATGGGATGCCTCAGAGCCAGGACCCCTCTCATGTGCTGAGCCTCGTGTCCAATGTAGGTCTCCTTCTCAAGGTTACCGTTCATTATTTCCTACAAAGACAAAACTTCTGATTAGAGGCAAGCTCAAATCAAAGCCACGTTATAATGCTTTTTTGTAGAGAAAATAGAGTTATACACATAAGTTTATTCCCTTACCTCGTATTTTGGCATCCCAATGATTGTTGGGAATATAATGTTTGGGAGGTCCTGATCTGCAAATCCTGCTTTCATCAAACCAGAGCCCGTATCCAGAACTATGGGGGTCTTAAAATCTGTCATCTGTAATCACAAAAAGAAAAAGAAATACACTTCAATCAAATGAAGGATGATGCTGGGGATTCTCACCAGCGCTGGGCAACTCGCCGCATATTCATAGCCCACATTCAAATGAGAATGAAGAAGAAAAGTGAATATATCAAACAGTATACAAACGTTTCTGTTTAACTGATGTTTGTAAACATTTAAATACGAGATGCATGTAAACAGTCTATTTGAGGGATCTTAAAGGGGACATATTCTGCTGATGTTCAGGTGTATATCAGTATGTAGTGTCTCTACTTTAAAGAGTCCTCTCCTGCTGATGTTCAGGTGTATATCAGTATGTAGTGTCTCTACTTTAAAGAGTCCTCTCCTGCTGATGTTCAGGTGTATATCAGTATGTAGTGTCTCTACTTTAAAGAGTCCTCTCCTGCTGATGTTCAGGTGTATATCAGTATGTAGTGTCTCTACTTTAAAGAGTCCTCTCCTGCTGATGTTCAGGTGTATATCAGTATGTAGTGTCTCTACTTTAAAGAGTCCTCTCCTGCTGATGTTCAGGTGTATATCAGTATGTAGTGTCTCTACTTTAAAGAGTCCTCTCCTGCTGATGTTCAGGTGTATATCAGTATGTAGTGTCTCTACTTTAAAGAGTCCTCTCCTGCTGATGTTCAGGTGTATATCAGTATGTAGTGTCTCTACTTTAAAGAGTCCTCTCCTGCTGATGTTCAGGTGTATATCAGTATGTAGTGTCTCTACTTTAAAGAGTCCTCTCCTGCTGATGTTCAGGTGTATATCAGTATGTAGTGTCTCTACTTTAAAGAGTCCTCTCCTGCTGATGTTCAGGTGTATATCAGTATGTAGTGTCTCTACTGTGACATGTCTCCATGCTTTAATGTTCAAAAAGCTCTTTATTTTTCTCATACTGCCTGTTGCTGCAGCACCGCTTTTCACCCTCTGTCTGAAACCAGAGCCCAGTCTGCTCTGGCTAGCTGGCTAGCTCTGTTGTGATTGGTCAACTCTTTATAGATGTCCCGCCTGCTTCGCCTGTCACCGACAATGGGTTGGGGCGCTAGCCATTAGAAACGCGGATGTCACATATTGATGTCACTATGTTACAGAAGTAAACAAAGGAGTCCAATGGAGGCGTTTCAGGCAAGTGGTCAATCAAGTGGTCGACTAATCCATTTGCATGAACAAAATCTATAAGGACACTACAGGAAAGGGAAAACCCTGAAAAGCACAATAGGGCCTCTTTAATATAAAAAGGTATCAAAATAAGAACACAGCTTTAACTGTGGTGTTACAGTAGAACATGTACCTGTGTCATGTTGATGTTGAGCTGGGCTTGAATCCCTGAGCCTGGTCCCCTCATGGCCTCAGAGCTCTGAACAGCATCCAGGAAGTCCGCTCTCCCTCCAGGTTCAACCTCCGGAGGCAGGTCAGGGGGCAGGGCAGGGGGCAGCTGGGGGGCCGACGGCGCCGCTGCAGGAGACAGAGCCTGCACCTCCTCTGCTGGCTGCAAACCTGTCTGGAGCAAACATGCAGCTCCCACTGATGCACCCCCTTCATCTTCAGTGTCTGAAGGAGTGTTGCGTTCCTCAGTGAGTGCATGGTTGTTATTGTTGTTGTTAGTGTGCTCCTTCACATTTGGATTGAGAACAAAGCTGTGAAGGACAGCTGCAGTCACATTCTCTGGCAGTGCATCATGTGGTTCATCTTGCAGATCACGTTGCACAGAACCAGGATCTTGATCAACAGAGGGCCACTCTGGATTCTGCAGCTCTGAGTGGGGGGGTTCATGTTGGAGGTTGTTGTTCACAGGAAGGGAAGCGTTCCTTGGCTTAGGCACGGGAAGATGGGAGGGTTTTCCTCCTGGGTCAAATGATCCATAATCTAGCTTGATCTCAGAGGCTGGAGAAGCATTTTCACTTGATCCGTCTGATTCGTTATCGGAGATACATCCCAGAGGTTGGATACACAACTCTTCATGAGGTACCTTTAAATCAGAGGTATTATTTAAAGTATGTCTATTAAATACTGACGGCTCAGCTTCAGGGCTATCCTCTTGACATTCCGAATCAGGAAGTTGAACCAAGTCTTGTGGGGTAGCCTCTTTGGCAGCATCGGGGTCTAACAGAATATGTTCAGCCTCACAGGAATCCTGACCCTGGGGATCAGTCTGGACTGACGCTATAGGATGAGTTCTCAGTGATCCGTTACAACTTCCTGATAAAAGCTCATCACAGAGTGCTTTGTCCTCCTTGGTCTCACTTCTAGCCTTCTCCATAATAGAACATTTTACAACCTTTTTAGCGCCGTCCTTGTGCTTCTTCACCCTCTGCTCGTTGTCCAAGCTCTTCTCTAGCTTCTCCACCTCCCTTTTCTCCTTCTCCAGTTGTACCCTGAAAGCCTCCCTCTCTTTGTTCGTCTCGTTTGTGATTGAAGGTTTGCTCGCAGACTCTTCTGGGCTTTCTATGCAGCTCCGCAGCTTGTGGATCTTCATGTTCTCCTCCATGATCAGCTCATCCAGGATGTGGACTTTCCTTAACTCCGTCAGCAGGTCCGGCCTGCTGTGAAAAACTGCTGTATCAGTGTGGAGCCCCTCATCTTCAGAAGCCTGAGCTCCACCCGCAGACCCAGCTGATGTGGGCTCACTGAGTTGGTCGGACTCTGCAGGGTCCAGGTCATCCTGGAGGCCTAGAACACCAGCCTCTGCCAGCTCACTGGAGGACATCTTTAGAAATGAGAGGAAGCAGATAGAGCATAATGAACAAACACCCCAGGTTTACACTGGCTGTATAGTCTGTAGTCCAATAAAGGACATGTGTCCAACCCCTCAATCTATCCCCCACTGTATACGAGTACTTTTGGTAATTTAAGTATATTTTGATGCCAATACTTTTGTACTTTTACTTGAGTAACATTTTGAATGGAGGACTATTACTTGTAACAGTGTATTTCTACACAACACTTCTACCCAAGTTCAAGATCTGATTACTTTTTTCACCTCGGGCACAATGTACACCTGAAAGTAATACAATAGGATTCCTGTTGGTTTCCATCTGTCAGAGCACTCTACCTCTACCTTAGTCAACAATGATGACTCATGATAAGTCTTGAACTAAGTTCACAAACAGTCACTAAGTGCACCGTGAGTAAAACCGGTATATTCAGTGAGCGAATAACCTTGTGAAGGGGACTGAAGTGTAACCTACCGCACTGAGCTGGGACTCGCTGTCCCACAGGGGCCACTGGTCCCTGTCCTCGGCCCTCAGCAGGGCCTCCAGCACCGCCTCCTGAGCTAGGACGTTCTCCTCTTTCTGTGGAGAAACACCTTCATTTCACTGTCCGTCACATCCACTAAGAAATCAATCGGGCTGTTTTAACCTGTGATGGACATCTAATGTGCAGCCCTTAATGCCACGAATGGTGCCTTCTTACCTCCAGCATTTCATCCGCCCTGACCAGGATCTGCTCCACTTCCATCAGACCCTCCTGCTCCTTCACCTCCCAGTCATTCAGAGAGATATCCATCACACTGAAAATAAGAAAAGCAGGACGTTTATAGCAAGTAGTGCCTTCAATTTCTTCAATAAAGGAAAGTTGGAAAGTATTCGATGTTTAGTAGCAGCAGAAAGTGAGAACTGAGTCCAATTTGATCATATTTTCCGCATACAGTCCTACTGTAAAGTACCATGCGAGAAGGGAAAGCTTGGCGTGGTTTGCTGCACTGATGCACCCTTCAGTAAAGTAGCTTATTTGAAATCTAGAAGCCAAATTATCCAAGTGTGGAAGCATTTTGGATTCAACATCACAGATGGAAATAATGCAGTTAAAGAAAAACTGTAAAAATCCAACTGCCCCCATTAGCAAGTCACTCAAATGAGGAGTGGAATCCTAACTTCAAATTTTGACTCAATTTCTTCTAAGAGTTTTTAACAAGTTTATCCCATGTGTGCTTTGCTCGGAGGAGTTTCCCCTCTGACCAGTGTGGTGCCTGCACAGTTTGGTTCAGTATGTGGAAGTTGTGGAGGATGCCGGTCGATTATGTGCAATCTCAATAAAGCAGTTAAAGTATACAAACGTTGTGTTTATTACGTTTAACAATATATATTTAAACAATTGTTTTTACCCATCCACAGCATCCTGAACCTGCTCATGGAGGTCATAGGAGTCCCAGAGGAGAGTGGGGCCCCCCTCTGTGGTGAGGATGGAGCGCTCTCGGCCCTCTGTGATGGTGCTGGAGAGGACTTTGCGAACGGGACTCAGTTCAGGGTCCTCTAAGCTGCTCTGAGAGTGCAGGGCCCAGTCTGTGGGCTGTGTGCGGCTCAACACGTCCCTCTGTGTGGGCTGGTCCCGGCACCTGCAGGGGTCGGAGCCATCCAACTGAAGGTCTCTCTTGTGCGGCGTCGGGTTCTGCGTGATGGTAACCGTGTACGAGTTCTCCAGATTGTCCACCGGCAAGCTGAGCCAGGGGTTACTGGGTAGGGCGGCTGAGCGCTTCACTTTTATCTCCAGGTTGAGGGAATCCACGGTGACTTTAGGGATGATGTGGATGCTCGCCCTGGATGAGTTCCCCAAGGAGCCAAACTCCTCTCTGAGGTCTTCAGGATCGGAAACACTGGAGACGTTCTCCTCGTGGATTTGAGGCTGACTCGAGGCGGGCCTCACAGAGTCCCTAATCCCAGCTGATGTGCACAGACTCTCCACTCCTTCCTTCCCCCCCCAGGCCTCCAACTGGCAGCCCCCAGCTCCATCGAAGCCTGAGTCGAAGGAGCTGAGGGAGGGGGGTTTGCCCTCAGCTGAAGCAGAGACAGTCTGGGGAAGATGGGCTGCTTTCTGTTCCTTTACACCGTTAGTGAGGTCCTGAACTTCTTTAGCTGTTCCGTTTGAATCACCATCATCAGGGGGGGGGGCAAATTGGCTGTTCCGCAACAGCTCGTACTGCCACTGTAGGGCCCGCTGCAGCGGCCCCACAGCCACGGGGCCAGAGGACATGAGGAGCTTCCTCAGGGTCATGCACCTGATGGAGAACACATGAAGAATTGTGGTAAAAAAATAACAGTGAAAAATACATTAAAAAAGTGATACTGCTTAGATAGATATTTGATTGAACCCAAATTGGGAAATTATTTTTGTTAAAAGCAGCAGTGTGCTCAGGCATTACAATATTTAAAAAGGTGAAATAAAGTATAAGGTAATAAAATAAAAACAGCTAATATAACAGCACGTAAAACATAACAGTAGAAAATACATGTATCACAAATAATACACACAATCTAAAATATTCTGGATTAATTAAAATGTTCTTTAGAAGACCGAAATACTGCAGCAACAGAAATACAGACATACTACAGGAGCAGAAACATATATAGGAGAGTATATAAACTACGGTTAAAATGTGTCACTGTTTCTGAACAGCCAAATGTTCCATTTCTACGGTTGTTTATGATGATGTAGCATAATGTTGGGAGTATCTATCAAACCATGTATCATGGTCCTTTTATGGAATTGTGTCTCGTGTCCATTTGCCACAGATTTAAATGTTTTTGATTTTATTTATGCAAACTTGCCTTTTCAAGAGCTTTCAAACATTGAACTAGCTGACAACATGGTCAAGTGCTACGGTGAGAGCAAAATAGTCTGTGAATAGATCCATCTCCATGACAACATAGCAAACTCCATGTTCTGATAAAACCAAGTGGGGTTACCAATAAAACAAGCTAGCAATGGACTCTGAGATGAGAAGCTTTTTTCACATGAGCCAACGAAATAATATAAACCAGTATGGGATGTCAAATCTTTGAAGATATTTTTGTATCATATTGCCGAACCTTAAAAGGATTATTTCTTTGTGAGAAAGTGAATAAGGGATTAGTAAGTGACTCTGAATTGTTTCGGCCTGTCGCCCCTTAACACATGTAAGCCATCTAGTGTTTTCTTTCTTTAGCTACAAGACATTCAAAGTGTTTTCAGAAAACAGCGTTCTCTGACTACACTTGGACGAATTGACATTTGTTTAAAACATTAAATTGAATGAAGGTTAGTAAACCCAGCCATCAACTGTACTGCTGTTATATGTGTTTACATTAATATGCATAAATGTACAAGGCACTAGTGTTAATTTCGTTGACTAAAACTATGACGAAATATGTTCGTCAACGACCTTTTTTTCCATGACGAAAACGAGACGGCACCGACGGCAGTAAACAATAACTGTAACAAAATCATCATGCAATATCGTTGACGAAAAGTGACGAGACGAAAATGTAGTTTACTAAATAAAAACTATGCCAAAATCTCTCTTTACTTTCGTTGACGAAAAATGAGGAGACGAAATATTATCAAAGATAACGTTACATCTCTGATAGTCAGTTTTTCTCCCAGCAGTTCCATTTCCGGTGCTGCGGCTGGGCAGCAGCTGTGTGTCTGTGCTGCGGCTGGGCAGCAGCTGTGTGTCTGTGCCGCGGCTGGGCAGCAGCTGTGTGTCTGTGCCGCGGCTGGGCAGCAGCTGTGTGTCTGTGCTGCGGCTGGGCAGCAGCTGTGTGTCTGTGCTGCGGCTGGGCAGCAGCTGTGTGTCTGTGCTGCGGCTGGGCAGCAGCTGTGTGTCTGTGCTGCGGCTGGGCAGCAGCTGTGTGTCTGTGCTGCGCGCGGCGGTACATTTGAAATACACCGGCCAGCAGCACACTGTGAACTGTGAGGAAGACTCGGGTCTAACTCATGGTCTAACTAACCTTATTTAACAGAAAATAAAATGGCAACAACAGGGCTTGGGAGCAGTGGTCGCACTCGCGTTAACCGAATACCCCCCCGTCAGCGTGAGTGAGTGGTAAATTGTGCACTCGACAGGTAATAATGGATTATGACGGAAATGTTACGATCCTGTCCGTCAAAATGACTGACAACGAAAAAGTCTAAAGCCACCACTGCTTGGGAGAAAGAAACTATGTGATATTTGGGCCCATTTTCGCTACAATGAGGCGGAGAAAAAAAGCGAATGCATTGTTTTATCAGAAGGAAAACAATGTGGCCACAACACAGCTGGTAAAAACACCACAAACCTGACCAGATACTCTCTGCAAAGCTGCTTTCTTAATCATTCAACCTGTGTTTTTCATCAAATAAGGACAAGATATAATCTTATTGTGAAATAAGTTTGACTAAAATGACAAATTATTGGTTTTGGCTAGACTAGTTTGACTGAAATGTTCAATATAATCTGATGACTAAAAAAGACTCAACAGTTTTCATTGACAAAAAGTAGACTAAAAGTCTGAGCATTTTAGTATTATTTTAGTCAAAGAAAACTAATTATTTTAGTCGACTAAATCTTGACTAAAATAGTTACTGTTTTAGTCGACTAAAATAAGACTAAAATGCTCAGACTTTTAGTCGACTAAAACTTGACTAAATAAAAACAGGATGAAGGTGACTAAATATGACTAAAATGGAAATTTAACACAGGACTATGACTAAAACTAAATAAAAAAATAGCTGATGAAATTAACACTACAAGGCACTATCCTTAAAATATAATTTTTCTAGGTTTTTGACATGTCTGAAACAGGAAGAAAGGTAAAAAAAGAAAAGATGTGGCCAAGGTCAAATGAACTAATATGTTGCATTACTACGAGTAGGAGACACCTCAGTAGAAGGACTGGCACAAAAAAAGCCAAAGGTTTGTCTTCATAACCTCCGTGTGAAACTCAAAGCGCTCTGACCTCTGAGACATCTTCTTCCCTGCCTGCTGGACGTCATCATCTGGGATGGCAAGGGACAGATGTGCCAGATGAACCAGCTCCTCCACATCTGGAGGGGGGTTCTTCTTCAGGAAGGTGGACATCTTGTACCTCCATGCAGGGATGGTGCCATAGTTCCTCCTCTGCATGGAACCGCTGTCTCCGTTAACTCCTGACAGCAGAGCCTGCAGGAAGTTCTCGCTGAGAACCAGACGGTACCAGCTGCTGGCCTGGAGGGGGAGCAGGGTCAGAGGTCATGTTTCAGAAAGGCAAGGGGTAACGGGGAGGGGGGCACACAATGCACAGAAAACAGTACTGCTTTCAGACTGACTGTTAGAGCCAGTCTTTTGTTTTGTAAAAAGGGCCAAATATTGTCACCTATTCGCAGTGTTGGGGTAGTTACTAAAACTCTAGTTACTTTATAAAAAACGTAATGCCTTACTTTACTAAATGAATCCCAGCTGAAATTGCGTAGTCACACTACTAGTTACATTACTTTTGGACTACTCCCTAACATCACCTGAGATGCACCGTAAATCAAAAGACAAATAACAATATCAAGTTTTGACAGAACACTGGTCCAGGTAGCTTCAAAAAGGCAGCCCCCCGTTATCTGCATCTCGCTCAATATGTTTGGGAAAGATGGCGATTTCACCGTGGAAACGAGCGACATTTCCTCCTGTGTTTGTCTTATTCTGTTGCTGCTACAACACTTGAATTTCCGTGCAGGGATCAATAAAGGTCCATATTATTTCTTTATGTGTAAACATCATGTGTATTTGTTTCATCTCCCCTCCAGAATACATTATAAACTTGTGATGAATCAGATTGTTATTGTGATTGACTCAATAGAAATGTTTGAACTGATGACAGCTCTACTACGAAAGCCAACGCTCACCTTGCTGTAGTGATGGTGGTAGCTGGAGACCACCCTCAGGGTCTGCAGGATGAAGTGAACCGCAGAGTGGAGCTTGTCCTTCAGCCGCTCCACATCCATAACCCAGCGCTCCCTGCTCTGCCCGTCCAGCAGCAGCACCTCCTCCACAGTGTGGATCACATCTTCAGCACAACGGACCAGAGCCTGGGGGGAGAGAAGGGGGTTTGGGGATATTTATAGACAGTATTTACCAAAACTATTTCATCATAGGTTTTTTTCTCCACTTTAGTCATTTGAAAATAGGCCAGTTTCTCTGCTCATCTCCACATGCTTTGCCTAAGCCGTGTTGCTAGAGGGTAACACCTGAGGGGTTTGCTTGTTGTTGCAGCCAGGCTCATAGGCTGCAACAAAGAGGGGAGACCACACAAGTTTAAGTGTTATAGTTATGTACAATATAACCGAAGAGGGACTTAACAAACCTAAACAAAGGTCAGTTATCAGTAATGTGTGAGCGTGTGGGTGTGTGAACATGTGAAACAAACAAAGACGCAGCCGTGTCCAACAGAGGAGTGAGAGGGCAGTATGGGATGTGTTGGCCTTTTATCACCAAGGTGTCAATCATCAGAATGATCACCTGTTACACAAATTAGAGCCAGCAAGCAGAAGGCAAACTGAGAGACCCCGAGTGGAGTGCATGGGGTCTTGTGCTCAAAACAGAGAACAAAAAGTTCCTTCCCCTTTAACATTTTTAAGGATATGTTGTTGTATTTCTCAAATAGTTTGAAGGACAGTAATGTTCACATTTGTTACGTGCTCTTGTTTTTCTCTGTCTCTCTGCTGCACAGGTACACCTGGCCCGCCCCTGGCTCCGCCTCCCCCAGGTGTCCTAATGCCATTCAGCTGGGGACTTTAAAAGGAGAAGCTGGAGGAGAAGAGAGCCCCGCCTTTTCCCTGAACAAATCTGAACAAACCTTCGGATGCCGTGTGGAGCTGTAGATTCCCATGTTACTATGTGTGTGAACTCTGGAGGACCTCATTAGTGTAGGTTTTCGCGTGACTTTATTTTGCCCCAGTAGAGTTTTTCTTCGGATAGATCTCTGGGTAGAGGAGGGAAGTTCTGGGTCCTACGGCCAGAGGACTGGTTGGCCCAGGCCCCCTTCTTCTTTTGTTTGTTTTTTGCCGTCCTCCAGACGTGGTTCGTTTGCCGGTGGGCACATGTGAGTACGGCTGTGCGCTTTAATAAATGCTCGCCGACAAGTGCTGCGTGTTTTGTGTGGTTTATTTTATGTTGCGGGTCTTCCCACGAGCCACTACCACTTGGTAGAGGACGGGTCGTAACAACATTAAGAACAAAATACTAATGTAAAAAGTTCTCCAAATGAACTTTGATTAGAAATAAGGACCAAGAATAGCTGCTGAAGCAAGTATGAATGAGTGATGTTCGATATCTAATCAGGAGAAATACTTTTCAAATCTGAGCTACGAAATCGACTAATAGAGGCTGCACTATAACACAACGTGGACTTTATTTAGGCACATTTCAAAAAACATGTTCCAAAAATGAATGAAGAAGAACACAGAATATAAAGATACCATAGCAGGTCTGTGAATGGACGCCTCGAACCGGGACACCAGCAGCCCCGCCTCGGCAGCTTCCTTGGCAATCTCTATTTTGTAGGGCTGGAGTTTCTCCTGGAGAAGAGTTTTGATCTGCTCTGTGATCTGTGAGCGGGAGGAAACGCATTCAGTTCAGACATTTAACAAGCACTATTTATCCTATATTGCTAAAGGAAAGGTACAGAGACATTTTTGCATACTGGTTAGATCAAGTTCATATCTTTTGTCCGCCTGGTTTGACTATGTATGAAGCGTAGAGTATAAATAATCACCCACTCAATAAAAAGAAAATGCAGGACAGTTGAAGATCATAACGGAGTACCAAAGAGTAGCAGGATTTGAATGATTGTGTTAAAGTGTAGAGCTCCTGGGACAGAGCTCACATCATCCTGGGAGAACTCGGAGAGCTCCTACCTGAGATATTTGAGCAAAGCTCCAGGCTTAGGAGGGATTTAGGGAAACTCCTCAGAGAGACTGAGCAAGACAAGGACAGAAACTCTCAGGGAGGAGCCGTTTGATCCGCTGCTAAGTATGAGACTATTAGTAGTACAGTTCTTTTCAAATGACAAAAAGTGCAATTTCATACAGAAAAGGGTAAAAGATGAAGAATACACACTATGAGTAAATGAATAACTAATAGCATTAAACACAAACGAAAATATTAAAAGCCATTTTATAAAATGTGTTTTTAAAATAATTTTAAAGATAACACTGTAATTCATAATTGACAAGTAGCCATCAAATAGTTTGGAAACACAGGACTACTTCAGCAGGAGCCTATTCACAGACTGATAGTAGACTGTTTGTCTACCTTTGTTTACATGCTAGAGCATTTCACCATATCAACGAGATTTAACATTGAAAGAATATTTCTCCTACCTCTTCCCGACATCTTGTGCTCTGCTTAAGATACATTGAGTCTTTAAATTCCTTCCTACTCCTAACAGTTTGTTATCTTAGGAGCCATCTTAAGCTGCTTCATGAGTAGCGTTTACCAGTTTATCTAGTCCTAACTGAGGGGAAATTCTTAATACACCATCATCATTTATCAAATGTATTAACATTTTTTCACAAACGGCAAAACCCTCAGCAGGCTAACACAGTATAACACACAGAGCCCTACACACATCAGATGATCGGGTATTACGCAATATTCTGCTTTTAAATGAAGGAGAAGTTCGGTCACACCCCCTTTCCAACTCTTTTGAATATATTATTGAAACACATTGCAGTACAAATGATTTAGTGTCACAGTAATTACCAAACTATGTGACCATCTAAGATAGACTATACATAAGAAATATTTCAAAAATAACGGCAGTTTGATATATTGAAAGCTTTTCTCCAAACAGACTCCATTACTTTGTTATACGTCTCGTTATTGCAGTATCTTCCTGATGTTAAATCTGTCTGTATTTGTGGAGAACTGTGTTCTGTCTCTGCTCCGTGTGTTGGCCTATGTGTGCCGGACACTGGTATCATTTCCAGAAGATATCATGATCGTGTGACTTATGAGCAGAGGAGCTCATCAAATGTATAAAGTGGAAACACTGTTAAACTCTGGGGAACGCTTGCCCTGCAGTAAAATAATCCACTTTTTAAAGAGCGGAGTGTGCTCCGGCAGCAATACACCGTGATGTAAGGGCTACGCAATGAATCAATGTTATAAGGAAGCAGGAGCCCGGTCAGACCCACCTGTAGAGCATCCTCTCGCAACTGGAACACCTGCAGCTGGAGGCGGGCCTTAGAGAAGGCCTGCTGCCACAGCTGCTCCACCTTCTCCACTGCTGCACAGATCCTGAGGAATACCAGAGAGATCATCACTAACAGCTGGCATCTTAGCACATCATTAGCACGCTCCCAGAGTGCAGGTCTGTTAGTGCTGCCCAGAGTCTGCAAAACCAGATCAGGAGTCAGATCGGTCAGCTGCCAGGCTCCCTTTCTCTGGGACCAACTTCCTGTTTGAGGCAGACAGTGGCCAAACATCTAAGAGAACACTGAAGACATTCCTGTTTAATAAAGCCTGGATTTAGAGCTGGTTTCAGATGATTCCCCGTTTGTCCTCCTGAGTTCCACATTTTGGGTATTTTATTGGATTTTCGTTGCGTTTTATCTAATTTTATTTGTATTTTACACTATTTTGTCTTTTCATAAATATTCATTTAATTTGACATCTTTTAGCACTGTAATTTATGTTTGATAATCTGAGACAAACACGTGTGTGATATTTGGCTATATACATTAACTTTGAACTCCGTTTCTATCATGGTGGCCAGATCCAAAACGTTTACATTTGACTGCTAAACCAAGATATGTTTTTGATAACATTTGAGGCAGAAAAAAGAATGCAGTAAAACCCAAAGCAGTAACATATGGACTCCTTTTGAGTTAGTGCTGCCTATGTTTGGTAAAGTTCACCTGGTCCTGTAAATGCTGCTGGGAGCCAGGAGGAGGCAGAGAATCAGGAATTATTCATAGATCCAGGGACACATTCAGCAAATGTGATCAAAGTGATTTTCAGGACTAACCTCACCGTCAGCAGCCAAACCCTCTTTACCTGTGCAATTCAGCAATAATACCTTATGAATACTAAAACACCACTATAAATATTGGAATATACATGTTATATGTTCTAGTACAAGGTGGCCATTTCTACATCACATAACCATTTTATTGTGTTTTCTATTGGACATTTTTACTTCAATATAGTATCAAATATCTTCAATATAAATATATTTATTTAATTGTATGTATTTGATCTTTTGATTGCTTATTCTTACTTAAGCATCCTACTGTATGTGTATATCAATATTTTGCATTCTATTTTTTATTTATTTCATTCTCAAATGGAGCAAACCCAATTTCCCCCAGGATAAATAAAGTATTGTTATTCAGAATGATAAAGTGACCAACTGCTTCTTATATTTGCAAGAGAATGTCAAATGTAAATCTGAAGTAGGAACCCTGAACTATTGCTTCTGGTCGAGCTGCAGAAATATCTGTCTGAAGTATGCGATGAAATGACTGTCTTTGAGGTTAGGTTTACCAATCACAACACCAACTACTGCTAACAGTGCACTAAAGATGAGGTCCCATCTCTCAAAGGCTGGCCAAAATGATATTTGAGTTGGTTCCCCTGGAATATCTTACAAGTCTTTTACATCTAAAAATCATGGGATCAAATGTGGCAGCCTTACTTACATTTCCTTGGGCCTGATTTATTGGCTATTATTGTTAAAGGAACTGCCTGAAAATCATAACAACTGACAATCATAAAATATATTATCTTGTCATCTCCTAGGAAACGGAACCGTTTTCCTATTGATTTTTTTTTTTTAATCGTTTTGTCTTTTGGTTTTGCTTTGTAATTATGTATTTGTCGTGTATCAGCTATGTCATTACTGAGATTGTAAAAAGTAAAATCAATAAACATTTTGTAAAAAGAAAGAAGAGCAACATTTGTTGCAGCTTACAAACACCTTAGTAGTGGAGCCTATCTGGACGAGGTGCTCCAGCTGCTGTGCGACAGGACTATTGCAACATGTTACGGAATGTGTGTGAAGTGTTTTCACAGAGGATTAAGATAAAGGCATCTCTGTAACTGAGCCCTGTGGGAGCTGCAGTACCTGCTGTGGTTCCGCAGCATGTCGAAGGCGGTGTGGCTGAAGAGGGCGGTGCCGGCCATGGCCTGGTAGCAGGGCTCTTTCTCAGGGTGCCGCAGCTTCTCCACGATACCCTCACAGTGCCTCAGCAGCTCATCCAGACCCAGCTCCCTGCGGGGAACACAAAAGTGTTGGGTTTCTTGGTTCTTTGTGGAAATGTGTTACACTTGCCTACTTGCCTACAGATTTAACTTCCTGCATTGTAGTCTCATTTCGATGGAATAGGCTGCTTTTGTAAATTAAATGCTGTTTTGCGGTTGACATTCAAGGTACCAATAGGTTAACACTTGAGAGGTTTAACAAGTCACTTTGCAGTTTTAGTTTTCCTTTACAGAGAAGTAGAGTAAATAATGACAATATCCTGATCGATAACGAAATTATTCACGTCAGCTAACCTTACATTCACCTGATTTTTTTATTCTGCAATCAATAAAATGCACTCAGATGTCCTGAACCAGCACTGGGCTTTAGGTGGAGTAGGAGAACAGTGGAGAGTCTGACCTCCTGAGCTGCAGGAACGTGGCTTCATTGGTGCAGCAGAAGTGCTGCAGCTCTCTGGAGGTGGAGGGCAGCGGCAGCCTGGACAGAGCCTGCAGGGTGGAGATACACGAGGGCAGCCGCTGGACCACCGACAGGAAGTCCTGAACAAACTCATCCACCTCCTGCAGGGAGCACAGGGCCAGTCAGTGTCATATCTGTTATAAACAGTGGTGTAAAGTAACTAAGTACATCAGGCTTTAGTTCCACCTGGAGTAAATTCACAAGCTACCCTGCAGTATACAAAGTCATTCAAACTAGCTGCACCTTTACCAGCTTTGAGAACACTTTAATGATCAATCATTATAAAACATATCATATATATTATTCTGAAATGGGCCAATCTGCATGATGAGAACTTGTAGTAGTCATTCTGTACAAGATTCGAGTACTTCACCACCTCTAATTTTAAACAAGGTCACATTTAAGACTATTATGAACGACTGTGGTTCAGGACCATTCATGGTCGTCCACCAAATGAAAGGTCGGTAGTTCCAGCCCCATTGAACAGCCTAGTGGTGCCAGCCTATACAGCACATGAGGGCCAGAGTTTTACTGTGTGTGTTGCAACTTGCATATTTATTTATTGCACTTGACGCACATGGCGTAATCTCCACCTGGGACAGGGGGGACATGTCCCCCCCACTTCTCGAAATCCCGTCTGTGTCCCCCCACTTTACAAATATGTTTATTATTATTTTTTAACGCAAGCCGTCATCGCCACGGAGGAGGACACAGCCTCTGTGAGCGAGCGAGACAGAGAGAGAGCGCACACCTTTATCCATTTAATATAGATAAAGTAAGAAGTCATTCCAATGTGTACTATAGGACAGTAAAAAAAAAACAGTTTAAAAGGGGAGTGATTAGTCAAATATGCATAAATAAAAAGAAAGAATGCTAACTAGGTAACATAAGATAAGAATAAACCAGTTTAAATTATTTGTTATTGGTTGTGATCATATTCTAAAGATGTTTGGATTATTGAAAAGTATACAGCTCCCTTTCATCTGAGTGTTGAGAGCTGTATCCATCAATTCATGTTGTGCTCAAAGTGCTCCAGATTGATGCATTTCACTTCAACATTAAAAAAAAAAATCTTCCAGGATGTGAGGCCCACCGACCCCCCGAGAGGATGTGAGGTCCACCCCCAAATAAAGCAGGTTAAAATAATTAGATTGAATACTGAAAACGGGTTATCTCTATTTACTGGCTTTGATAAGTTTGGGAAATGTTCTTATTTGTTGCGATATCGTTAGTTACACTCTATGTGCACCAACAGTATGACCTTCAGCTTCTGTTGAGCTGAGAACATCCTGATACTGCCTCTCTGACTTCCAGAATGCTCCTTTCATTACCACCAAGCTCACCCCCTCCTCTCTCTGTGTTTCAATATGCAACCCAAACTCTACTGTGTCTTTCACTCTGCAGACAGGATGCTCTCTGTGTGACTGACTGAACTTTCTTGCTACTGTTCATTTGACAAAGGTTTTTGATGTATGATCTTAGACCTTCTTTATACTTGATTTGGTTAATTAAGCTAGCTGCTGATGTAAGGCTGCTCTGATTTTTGCACAGCATACGTTTTTGCAATGACTCAACACCCTGAACCCAAATGTAGGTCTAGCGCAGATAAAGCAGGTTATCCTCCTGAATAGGTCTCCTATAGGCAGAGAGCTGCCATTGTGGACGCATGCTGTCACCATGGCCCAATGCCCCAGATGAACATGAATGAATGTATAATGTAATAGGAAGAGGGGCTCCTTTCACTTGCTAATAGGGTCAGCTGATCACGCGAGGCATTTGCACAAGCTTCACCACGGTAACGAACAATAGACAGGGAACACTCGGACGGATCTCATGAATGAATCCTCACATGTGAGAGGAGACTACTCTTCATCACAGAGGAGCAATACTTCAAACACAAATAGGTGGAATACATATTTGGCTGTAGTATTGTAAGTCACATAAACACAGTGTATGAGTGTTAGTGAGCGTGTGTGTGAGTACACAGCAGAACAATGTTACACTGTGTTCAGCCCTCTTCCTGATCATAAGACAGATTCAGGAGGTTTGTTCCGAGTCACTCGCATATCACTATCACACTGATCTTCCCCTAGTTTTTAGCTCAGGGGTGTCCAACATTTTTCACTGAGAGCCACATACAGAAAAACATACGAAGGGCCCGGCCCCTCACTAGAGTGCAGGTATATTGTCTCATAAGCAAGTTAGCAAAACCAATCAAATCTAGGTACATTATTGTTGATAATTGAATATGCTTTTTAAAACAAAAACAGCTCTCCAGAGGGTTTCATTTATTTCGTTACAAAGAGGGTTGGCAGTTTTAGTAAGCCATATTGGACCATATTCCATTCTAGCTTATTGAAGGGTGCATATTAATTGCATGCATTTAATGAATATTAATACAATCCATTTGTATATTTGTGTATAAGAAATGTACACAAAGCCAGATTTAAGAAAACACGCATTACCCTCGGACAGCTCAGACTTTAGAAACTAGTCTTAGCTGCTGGACACTTAGCCGTGCAGCACTAGTACCCTTGGAGGCATTCAAGGTTATAGCAATGAACAGAGGTATGACAACAAATGTTACCTTAATGAAGGCCACCCAGCTCTGGTGGCAGTACATGAGGTAGCCGCCCAGCGATGGCGTTAGCTGGCTTCGGTCAATGTAGTTGGAGAGCTCTGAGATTTCTTTCAGAAGGACTTTCTGCAAAAAGATGAGAACAGCGTTACCTATTGAATCAAATCTATATCAGATCCAGGGGGACAGCGTGTGTGGTGTCCTTCACCTTGAATGAGGCAGTGTAGCACTTTGACGGAGCCAGGAGCTTCAGCAACAGCTTCACAACATCCTTCTTTTTGGGCTGAATTATGTACACACTGTGGACGGTCCTCTTGTGCAGCTAGAGAAGAAAGACTGAACTCAGAACACATGGAATAACTCTTTCTTTTGTAATCATTTGGAAAAGAGAAGAGTGTTAATTGGCCAGTTGGTGCCATTTGAACTGCGGTTCCAACCATGGCCACAACAGACAGGCCCAGATAAACCTGTCAGGGCTAAATTGTGCTGTTGGATCCTATTGAGCCCACATCTACTGCCCACTGTGCATTGTGTGTATCCCCAGGTACTCTTAAGGATTATATGTGCAGTACATCTAATTACCAATACCTACTGACATTTAGTAAAGTGTAAATCAGGGTCCTAAGGGCTGTGTTTCAGTGAGCGTTTTAGCAATTATTGATAAACATGCATCTTTAAGACAAATCTATTAGTCGTGGAAAGCAACAAAAAACGAACACCATATCAAGATCGGATGAAACACCAAAACACCGAATGATCATTGAGTTTTCTTACTAAAACATGTCCGTATGCAACAACAGAGACATGTGAGAAGTGTTGATCTGGGAGTCAAAATGCAGCATCTCTACATAATTGTGCTCATTTACTGCAATTTCACTCTGGCTTTTCTATTAAAAAAACCCAAAGCATGTGACCAGCTATGCATGTGACACAAACACACACTTTTCTCTCTCCCACACTCACAGGGTTCCACTATGAGCACAGATATGACGCACTTGGTACTTTGAAGATCAGCTCAGACTTCAGATCTTTGAGTCAATATAACAAAAGTTGCATACGTTTCTGCTCCAGGAGAGAGCTCTGCAGTCACAAGGTGAGGGCGTCACTGTGCCGTGTGCAAAGGACACACTCCAAGTCTTTCATGCATAATTCAGACAGAAACACCAAGCTGTGGTTTCACAAAAGCTCTGTTAATGCATGTGTCAAAACGGTACAATACTTCACTTTCAACATGCAAGGTTAGATGAAATACCAGTCTTATCTGTCCTGCAGCGGGGAAGAATGCTCACTTCAGGACGAGACATTCTGCACAGCCCTAATTCAGTTTTCTGCTACAGTTGGACTATTCTCTGACCACAGGCAATGACATATCAACAGTTGGGCTGAATCCAGCAGTAAGTGGGCTATTGTGGTCGGTTAATGAATTCAGCAATGGTGTATGCAAGGTCACAGAGCAGCTTCAAGGACAAATATTTGACAGGCAGTGATATTCAACACTAATGTGGGACAGAACCCTGGGTTACTGTTCATCATTCAGTGTGCTATGTTAGGGGTTTACAATGCTGAACATGCAGAGGTGGGAAAAGTACTAGGATCTTGTACTTAAATAAAAGTACAAGTACCAGAGTGTAAGAATACTCTGTTACAAGTAGAAGTTGTGCATTCAAAATGTTACTCAAGTAAACGTAGACATGTATCATCATAAAAATATACTTAAAGTACCAAAAGTAGTGTTTGTGCAGAAAGGTCCATTTCAGAATAATATATATGATATGTTTTATAATGATTGATCATGAAAGTGTTCTCAAAGCTGGTAAAGGTGCAGCTAGTTTGAATGACTTTGTATACTGCAGGGTAGCTTGTGAATTTACTCCAGGTGGAACTAAAGTCTGATTTAACACTTGATTAGATTTCATCATTAATCCAAATGTATGCTGAGGAGATTGCAGAAAGCTATCATAAGGACAGAATCTAATTCTCATCAATACATTCATACATATAGTTTTATTATTACTGTGAGTTATATTTCGACAAATCAGGCTGGTTCGGACCAGGCAACAGCATGCCATTTCTTTCCATTAAATACAATTTATAAAATGACAACAACAAGGCCCTAATAACAGCAGCAATAGTATGAAGTCTAAATCAAAGAGTATATATTTACTAAGCAGAGCACTCTCATAGGAATGTGGTTCTTTCCGAGCACTTAAAATGTTTGCAGGTCAATGGGGAAAAGGGAATTTTGGCCAAAAGTTCTATTTACAACCACAAAAATAAGACGGATTAAGAAAACAAGCCAAGTGTTCAGTCTGTCCATTCATCTCTTCCTCTACCCTTCACTCAGCAACGTACACACACTTTTTTAAAAAAGGGTCACATTTAAAATGTGTAAACAAAAATTGTATCGTGTTGATTCCCTCATGCAACAGACATATGAAGTTATTTTAGACCCCACCAAACTAAATAAAAGTGCTTATGTATTAGTTGAGTAAAAGCTGATTATTACCTTGAACAACTTCCAAATTCTCTGAGATCAATCTTTAGCAGGCTGCTGGCAATCCAATAAGAAAGCAGTAAAACATCACATGAAAGACTACGTTGGAATGCATCACTGGGGGAAAATAACTGCTAAATAAGGTCGGAGTATTAAGATTAGATTGAACTTTATTGTCATTGCACAGTAGAAGTAATAAAACAACGACATTTAATTTAAACAATGTCCCAAATACAAAGGCACCCAAAAGCTCCCGGCTGTTACTTGTTATCTGGCTAGTAGGGTTTTTCAGGCGGGGGAACCCTGAAGGCAAGAAGACAGTGTTTTTTAAAGCCCATCACTCATAAATCTGACATCTGCTTCCATTCTATTTTCTGATTTGTTCAGTGAGCACCAGCTGGAAAGAACTCAAGATTGAACCTCCTAAACGGTTTTACGTGGCTATATGTTTTCCACAGCAGTGCATTGCAAAGCTCTGTGCTGATACTGTCTGTTTCTCTAATCAGGGGCGTACCAACCGCCATCTACAGAAGGTAACACATCGACTATGGAATAGTAACAGACACAAACTCACTTCAAAACAACAAAACTAAACCTTTAAAAGCAGAAAGGAGACGGACTAAACCTTTAAAGCAGAAAGGAGTCTGTAAAACAGTAGACTGGAATCCTCCGACAGCAGACAATATCAATGATTACTTTTTGTAATCTGAATTTTCAAACTCCAGAGCTTTCATTTTAGTAAAAACTTTCCATGGTCCTAAAGCCGAGCTGTGTGAATGATAAGTCTGCTGAGAGGGTCTGAACAGGGCCAGGGAGAGGAAGTGCAGGCAGTACAGTGGGCTGCAAAACATGGAATCAAAGCAGAGATACAGGGTCCCACGATGTAATAAAGTTAGATTGAAGCACTACTTTGCGCACCTTTTAACCCTCAAATGAAAGACTGAGCTAAATCCCAGGTCTGTTGTACTTTAGACGTCTTGAGCATGTTTTCTCTTCAGTGATTGTGATAGTATGTTTAAAGTTTGTTTTCCTTGTATTGTGTCTTAATATTTGTCCTTGTTCGATGTTGCAAATGGAGCTGCTGTGATGCAAGAAAAATGTCAGACCTGATCTGACAATAAAGTATTATTGTATCGTACCATATTGGACGTTATTCAGTTTTTCCAATGGTCAAGCTTGTATCGGTAATCCTTCACATACATGCCATCCTTTTCTGAAGCCATTATTATGGACATCTAGAGGTGCTTTGTTCTGAAACCACATATCCATCATATGCACAACCATTGGAACCTGCTGCAGGCCATCCTCCACAGCAGCTTCCCACAGTGCACTCTGCCAGGACCTTACCTCGAGCAGGAGCAGAGTATCAGCGATGAACCTGGAGGTTTGGAGGGATGCATGCCTCAGATCAGCCACCACTGACACCAAGCCCTCCTTCTCCTGCTTCCTACTGTTGAGAGAGAACCATCCACCCCTTAGTACACCTCCCTCTCATTCACATCATCACAATAAGCCTGCCTGACTGCTCTTACTTGTGCAGACCCAGAAAGTAATTTATGAAGTCCACCACTTCTGCTTTGCTGAGTTCTGAGGAGAGTTTGGCTTGTTCCTCTAATGGGAACACGATCAAAGGGCAGCCATGTTGATCAAAAGCACCTGTACGGACGGATACAAAAAAAAAAAAAATCTTAAAAATGTTTAGCTGAAAAAAAAGGATGATTAAAACATTCCAACATTTTTAATTCAAGCACATGCTCTGTTGATTACCTTATTAAATACATCTTTCTATTATGATCAAAACATGTCAGGGATTATTGTCAACATTTCAATGTGTCATGCAGTAATGTCATAATTTTTAAAAAATGAATAAAAAGGGCTGAGATAAGCTCTATCATTCTTAATAAGCATTTCCTATTCCTGGATAAGCTTGCCACTGAATGCAGCACAGACAGAAACAGACAGAGGTGGGAGAAGTACCAGCGTGTAGGAATACTCTGTTACAAGTAAAAGTCCTGCATCAATGTTACTCAAGTAAAACAGTTTGAAAGTTTGAAACATTAGCCTCAAAATATACTTAAAGTACCAAAAGTAAAAGTAGTCATTGTGCAGATTGGTCCATTTCAGAATAATATACATGATGTGTTTTATAATGATTGATCATGAAAGTGTTCTCAAAGCTGGTAAAGGTGCAGCTAGTTTGAATGACTTTGTATACTGCAGGGTAGCTTGTGAATTTACTCCAGGTGGAACTAAAGTCTGATTTAACACTTGATTATATTTCATCATTAATCCAAATTTGCAAAGTAACTAAAAGGTATTAAATACATGTAGTGGAGAAAAAGTACACCATTTACCTCTGAATTGTAGTAGGGTAGAAGTACATAGTAGTTCACAATTGAAATACTCTAGTAAAGTATAAGTATCAAAAATGTTACTCAAGTACAGTGCTTGAGTAAATGTACTTAGTTACTTCCCACCTCTGGTAATAGAAATAACAGAGTATGGAGGAGTGATAGCTACCAGGGAACAACACGGCTGCAGAGTGGAGCACATGATCCGCAGGCAGCGGCGGGGAGGGGGGGCACTCCTGTACCGACCCCTGGACGCCTGAAAGTTTGTGGGAAATTATTATTTTTATTGAAAACACACCCGGCAAGAATTTCCAACAATCCTTGAAATATGACCACTGGAGGAACCGGTCCAGCAAATTCCTCACAGCCTTTGGAAAGAAAATCTGGCTGATGAGCAGCACTCTGTAAAGCGGTGCGGCACGAACTAAAACTTCTGAAGTGAAATACATAAGCTTGTTATCATCAGAGTCACTGTGGATGAGAAGCTTTGTCGCGTGCACACTTGTCTCTCCTACCTGTCGCGTGTCGGCTCATCTCAGATAGCTCCCTCGCGACTATTTTCCACAGCCGTTTGTCTCTTGAAGTTGTCTCCTTTCGCTTTAAAGCGGTAAAACCTGGCCAACACCGAGCAGTTCTACTGCGGGGCTGGAGAACGTTCGGACCGCGGCTTCTCGCTGCCTCTCTCCGCCATGTTGCGTCTCTCCGGCTGCAGCGTCTGGCTGAGCTAACCGACTGATGCTGCTCGGCTCTTTTATAAACTAAAGAGGGCGGAGATACACAGAGGAGGAGGACGGGCACAACGTGCTCACAGCGACCTGGGCCTAGTCTAACCAGGTTTAACCTTTGTCTGACCAGGTTCAACCACCTTTATATTACTATGGGTTAAGGTTTAACCGGGCAGGCTCCTCCCTGTCCCCCAAACAATATCCCCTCTCCAAATCTCAAAGATAAATTATTTGATAATAACTTTTGCAAACTTTATTAACTCCATTTGTGAGCATAAGACATATAATTATAATAATTATTTATAATACAATATCATATTATAATATTTGTGTAGGATTTAGAAGCTCCTCAAATTAGACTTTGTCTTCACAATCAGTCTTAAAATCAGAATACCTTCATTCTTCACACATAGGGGACATTGACATTGTTACAGCAAGTAAAGAGCCAAAGCTTAATATTTGATTTGATTTGATTTGATTTATTTCGAATGTATAAAACAATAATACAAAAAAATAATAATGAAATGAAACATGAGCATTTTTATACTATACAAACTAAAGCAGTGTCAAATTGATAAACAAAAATATTACTGACTCTAAATGATATATTAACAATTAAGAAGTATGCATAAACTTAAAGATAAATTACACAATTTACAATTTACAAAATACACATCCAAGTTTGGCTATAGTTTCCCAAAAAACTAATAATTTTGGTTAGAACATAAAATGAACAAATAACAAAAAATCTAGATTTCAAGATTGATACACTTTCATCCACCGTGTTTCCTGTTTTACTATAGTACATTTCAGAGACCAGGAACATATATATTACAAAATCAACAGAGGCTTTAGTTATTCTGTCTATAAATGCTGTAAAGTTGGCTGATGTGTAAAGCTTCATACTTTTAAACTGTTCTCTGTCAAAAAAGACATGCACTGGTGGTCAGGAAGTTCAGCCTACTTTACTTGTTACAAGAAAGCCTAATCAACTTTAGGCTGTGTTGAATTGCGTCTTCTGTGCAAGAGGATTTGCTTGCAAACAGTAGGTGTGGGGCTGAAAGAATTTGGCTTGGCATTGAAATTGGCATTGATCACTGTTGTTTCATGCACTGTGTGTGCACTTCTTCTGATGAAGTTTGATAGCTATGTGCAATTGATAAATACATTTGGGCTATTTGTTGTCTTTTTTCACTGTTTTGCTGTGATTTATTACTGCACACACTGATGTCTAAGCAAATGTACCACTGCGACAATAACGTCTATCTTATTTTATATTTTATTTCGTTATATTATCTTATGTTATCTTGCCTTGTCTTGTCTCATCTTATCTTGTCTGATCTTATCTTATCATTCAGGAGGACAAGATGGCATTGTGGAAAAGGTCTCAAATGACCCATACTAGGAACTAATAAGAGTCAGGATCTCCCACCCTTCGATTTAAAAACTACAAATTCCAATCTCTCTCACAAGTACCCAAATCTCATGGGAGTGCTATATTAAATCTCAGAAACAGCCTTATACATTTAACCCTCCTGATGTCTTCGGGTCAAATCTGACCGATTTACTACTTTCATCAATCATAACTTTTTTGTTTTACATTCGATTGCATTAAGGCTTTATGATATCCTTCACAGTAGACATTTGAACATATAAAATTGCTGATCACCACTTTCATTGAATTTTGGATGATTTAGTCAACTTTGTAACACCCATGGTGTTCCCGCTCAAAAATGACCGCCATAAAGAAAAGGAATTAGTAACCATCCGGATCAGATAAAACACACACACAAACACCCCCCCCCCACACACACACACACACATACTCTAAATGTGTTCCCCCCCCCTTATGTGCCCAATCCCCCCATGTGAATCACACCTGGCACACGCAATCGTTGTTCAGTGTCTATTCTTTGTATATTTACTGCAGTTTTTCATGTATACCAGTAGTCTGATACAATATTTACAGTTTGAAAGGGTGTTAAATGACATTTGGTGATGATTAATGGTTTTTGTGTTAATGTAATAGCAGTTAAAACAGGACCGGTCAAATTTGACCGCGAACACCAAAGTAAGGGGGGAAAACGAAGACAATAGGAGGGTTAAACCATATTTTGTGTTCAGAAAATGTGTTTATTTTGCAAACATATACACAACTGTTTAAATAAATACTGCAAACTATACTTGAATAAATGACGAAATAAAGAAAAAGTTCACATTTGTGATGTGGTGACCCTGTAGTGGCAATTAGTCAGGTCACAAGGCCTGCAAGCATTTCCTGCTTAGGAAACAGTTTCTGTTGCACTGAACAGGTCCGACTGCATACCTCATGAATCGTTCAAACACAGATCCTTTGTTTTGCTTTGGTAATTATTCAATTAGCTTTGTCCTAATGTAATAGTTCCTAACCAGCATCAACATTAAAGTGCTACATTTCACCACAGAACATTCTAAGGCAGGTGCAAAAAGAAATAACCAAAGCTGTTTTTGTTTTTGTTCATTAGTTAGGATACATTGGGAGAGTTTCCATTGACGGATTTCAATCCAAATCTGTTCTTGACTCCTTTTATCATAAGGCCAACATGTTATTGAGACTGTATGTTGGTTCCTTACAGACTGGGAGAGCCTCCCCATTTTCACAGGGCCAATTATGAGTTGAACAGAGTCATTTTATAAACAATGGATTTAATCGTTTTAACAAACAGGAGTAATGTGAATGTTTTCAAAATGTCATCAGATGAATGCAGTTTATTATTTATCCAACTTGTTGATGTGATCAGATCATCTTGTGGAAAATATGAATTCCAGCCTAAATTGTCGTATTTTGTGTGTTAACATACAAATACTATAAATGTGGAAACTACATATTTCAATAATTGTATTAAAGTTAAAAAAAATGTAGGGATAACAATTCACATACGATGCTGAATTTCCCCATTTCAATATGTTTATTTGACCTCTTTCACTTGTTTATTTTGCTAAATAATTGCCATACATAATTGCCTACTATAAATAAGTCATTTAGAGAATGTTAGAATGTATTGTCTGTAAGTATTAAGGACCCACTTCAGTACCGGCCCATCGGGATTCGTCCCGAACGTCCCGATGGCCAGTCCGCCCCTGATCTAAAGTCATTCACTTGCAGAGATGTTTCCGAGGTAGGCTATTGTGACCAGGCCTGAACTCTCTGTGAGTATGTGTGAGTAACATCAACAATGTTGCTCTACTTCCTCCCTGCAGGGGTCATGCTGATTTCACCTCTTCATGAATGACATTGTTCTTTCACTTGGAAACATTCTTGGCATGGTTCAGTGGTAGCATAAAAAAAACAACGGTTTCATTTATTGTTTAGCGTGCACAATTGGGTCAGGTTCATGGAAGCAACATGGCTCAGCTCCCTGCCACTCCCTGGCATCATGAGGATGCTGTCCTCCGAGCATGTTTTACAGGTTTCTTCACCTTCTTGAATATAAAGGAACAAACGTATGAAAACATCTCGTAGCTTGAAAAATGACAAATAATTAAGCAAAATAATTAAACAAAATGCCTCTTGAGGGCATGAAGTGACAAAAACTTTCAACATGTCTTCATTAAAGCCCATTGTAATTTCAGGCTGATATTTCCTCACAGCAGCAGCTGCACACCTTTATCTGCCAAAAAGGCCACATTATTGACCCGAAAGTACACAAAAAGCACACTTCAGATACTCAAGGTCCTTGAGATGCTTCACGCTTTGAAATTTCACCGATATCTGTTTCTTCAACAAAACGTTCACATGTAAGAGGTTTATCTCTCATTCAGAACAATGGAAACCTTTGATCTCTGGACACCTCATTAGCTCAAATATAAACACCTGTGTCATGGAACATGATGATGTCATAACTCCAACTGACATGCTCAGAGCAGCAGACTTCAGATAATGGTTAATGGTCCTGCCCTCAACAGCTCTACGTCAATTATGGGGTGTCATCATATGCCGTTTCCATGGAAACGCATCCCTCGCCATAAAAGACGATGTCGCTTTACATTAACTCCTATGAAAATGTTCAAAAAGTGCTCAAACTTCACATGTGTGCTAACAGTCCAGCCGTGAAGACATCTACGGGACAGTTTTGAGATTTCTTCAAATACCGTTGCCAAGGCAACACAATGCTCGCCATGAAACACGGTTTTCTCATGGCTTCAGTGAAAATGCTCCAAACGGCCCAAAACTTCACAGGTTTGGTAACGATGCAGCCATCAACGCATCTAAGCGTATTATGGGGTGTCATCAAATGTCGTTGCCATGGCGACAGACCACTCGCCATGAAACACGATGTCGCTGTAAGTCCAATCGACACGGTCCAATCGTCCCCCAATCTTCACTTGTATATCACCGGTCCATGCCTCAACAGCTCTACGCCAAATCTGAGATCTCCCCATATGCCGTTTCCATGGCCATAAAAGACGATGTCGCTTTACATTAACTCCTATGAAAATGTTCAAAAAGTGCTCAAACTTCACATGTGTGCTAACAGTCCAGCCATGACGACATCTACGTGAGAGTTTTGAGATTTATTCAAATGCCGTTGCCATGGTAACACAAGGCTCGCCATGAAACACGGTTTTCTCATAACTTCAGTGAAAATGCTCCAAACGGCCCAAAACTTCACAGGTTTGGTAACGATTCAGCCATCCACACATCTAAGCGTATTATGGGGTGTCATCAAATGCCGTTGCCATGGCGACAGACCACTCGCCATGAAACACGATGTCGCTGTAAGTCCAATCGACACGGTCCAATCGTCCCCCAATCTTCACTTGTATATCACCGGTCCATGCCTCAACAGCTCTACGCCAAATCTGAGATCTCCCCATATGCCGTTTCCATGGCCATAAAAGACGATGTCGCTTTACATTAACTCCTATGAAAATGTTCAAAAAGTGCTCAAACTTCACATGTGTGCTAACAGTCCAGCCATGACGACATCTACGTGAGAGTTTTGAGATTTATTCAAATGCCGTTGCCATGGTAACACAAGGCTCGCCATGAAACACGGTTTTCTCATAACTTCAGTGAAAATGCTCCAAACGGCCCAAAACTTCACAGGTTTGGTAACGATTCAGCCATCCACACATCTAAGCGTATTATGGGGTGTCATCAAATGCCGTTGCCATGGCGACAGATCATTCGCCATCAAGTTAGTTCAAAAGTTTGCAGTTCAAATATTCTGCTGCTTTTCCAAGCCTTTTTACTTTCTTTTCTTCTCTCATCACACATTCAAGCCCCCAGTGTTCATGTATCATTTCAATCTAAATTCTTCACTTTCTTCTTACACATTACATTTGATTTCAGCATAGCAATTCAGCGTCAGCTTTTCAGCATAAAGCATTCCCACTAGCAATTTCTTCAGGAATTGCATTCTCTAGTTTAATATGCCCTTCAATAGTGTTCTATTTGTCAGATTTGTCAGATCTTCTATTATGAGATGTTTATATTGTATAATTGTTTAATTGTATAATCTAATATTTTGTATTTCAAATTTTACTGTGTTTTACATGCTGCTGCAAAAACATTTCCAAATTTGGGATCAATAAAGGATATCTTATCTTATCTTATGTAGGCTATTATGATCACATTTGGACATACTATCACAAAAATCCTTTTTTAAAAGTCATATTTTTGCTTTGTATCTTATCATTTATCCTATACCTCTTCAATAAATAAGTCTGGTGGAAGAGGTGGAAGAAGTACTCAGATATTTTATTAAATAAAATAAGATTTTAAAAGAAAAATACTCTGTTACAAGTAAAAGTCCTGCATTCAAAGTTGTACTTAGAAAAAAAAGTACAAATGTTTTTGCATCAAAATCATGGTTTAATCAGAATCAGTTTTACCAAGTCGGTTTACACACATGAGGAATTTGCTTTGGTATATGTAGTGGATACAAAGACACAGAAGAAAATGTAGCAAAACTAAATTAAATTAAAATAGGACTATTTAGAAAAACTATTTTAAGACTATTATGAAAAATGTAACAACATTTAAATATGACAAATACGATATACTGTATTTAAAGTGGAGAGCTGCGCTGATTTAAAAGAGGTAGTGCAACATGTTGTTCAGGATTTATAATTTAAAAAAGAACAAGATACTGTTCACATGATGTGCATTAATGTAATGCATAATGTTTTTCTGGGGTGGTTAAAAGTCAGTGTCAGTGGGGGGGCCGGGCCTTGTTGATGAGGCCGGTAGAGGAAGAAACTGTTCGGGTGGCGAGAGGTTTTGGTCCTGATGGAGCACAGCCTCCTGCCAGAGGGGAGAACAGTTTGTGTCCAGGGTGGGAGGGGTTGCCCACTATCTTCCCTGCCCGCCTCAGGGTCCTAGAGGCGTGCAGGCTGTGGTGAGATTGCATACTTCCTGAAGTCCACAACCATCTCCATTGTCTTGAGAGCGTTGAGCTCCAGGTGGTTGTCCCTGCACCAGGTCACCAAATGGTCCATCTCCCACCTAGGCAGACTCGTCCCCACCAGAGATGAGTCCGATGAGGGAGCCTAGGCTTTTAGTATATTATATATTATTATTATTATTATTATTATTATTATTATTATTATTATTATTATTATTATTATTATTATTATTATTTAGTATTAATGTCAATGTTGCACTGGTAAAGTGGTAGATTATTTAAATTATTGATATACTTCCTAGTAGTTTAACCTATAGTAATACATAATGATTAATACGTTGATTTATATTCTGTATTATTAATCCATACCTGCAAAGTAGCTCGTTACTAAAACATTTCTTCCAAAATGTAGTAAAGTAAAAGTACTTGAGTAAATGTACTGAGTTACACTCCCCACTGTCTACTTAGTTTTATAATGTTGACATACTACCTAACATTATACATAATAATGCAGCCCTCTCGACAACATCTTTTATTTTGGAAATTGGAACAGGAAGTTGTGTCCCCATGCGCTCGCCTCGTTGCCCTCGGTGCTGCTGATGTGATGCAGTTACGTTTGACATTTCATAGCATCATAGCTGCTAGTCGACTAAATACCTTCATAAGATGTAAACAAACCGTTTTGTTTATTATTTTTAAACTTTTGAACGTTTCGTCTTTAATTATTACTAGGACAGGTCTAAAGGAGAATTGTAACATTTACGTCAAGCTTATATTATTGTGTTATTAGCCAGTGGAGGCTATAACAGTCACAGGCTAATGACACTTGGCTAACGTGCTAGCAGTGAGCGTGCCCCCTGTCAAGCATCTTTTCGGAACTGAGATAATATACGTCCAGCGGCTTGAGGCATGTCGTTTGTATCCTGAAATAAGTTACAGGTAGACATGGTTGGTGACGTATGTAAGCAGAGCTAAGTTAGTACCGTAAACTGTTAAACGACTAGCGGAGCGTGCAGAGATGAACGCGCAGCTCGGGAGGAGTGGGCTCGTGGGGCTTGCTGTCGCAGCTACAGCAGGCTGTGGCTTGGTCGCCTACATCATCTACAAGGAGATCAGCAGGATAAGAGCCCAGAGACTGGTGCTGGAAGCCAGGCCGCCGTTAGACGGGGTGGGGGAAGCTGTGCTGCTGGGGGCGCTGGAGGCTGAGGCTCAGGGTGAGTTACTCAGTGCCTGACACTGACTGTCAGAAACATGTTGGTGTGTGAGTGAGAGGCATGGTTCCAACTGCGTAATACGAATTCAGGGGCTGAAGGTAATTGTCGCTTGAGTTATGGTGATGAGTCATATACCCAACATGGCAACTTTATAGACTTTGGCACGTTCTTGGTATTTTTCCCTAAATGCATTGCAGTTCTGGACCACCACAGCTGAGAGCAATTAGTGTTTTTCAATCCATGATTTAGTTTCTTTTGAGGCTTTCAAATTGGTATTTATTTTAGATCAATTTCAATTTACTGTCCGTGTCCAGTAAATGACAAATATCCTGAGTGTTGATGTCTTATATCTTATTAAAAGCACTGTAATCCCCTAAACATTTCATATGAAACTTAACATGTTTAGATGGAAGAGATAAGCATGAGTTGAGCATACTCTAGCTCCAGTCTGTGCCTGCTGTGCACATGACCTTAGATAATTAGATAAACATAGTAGGTACTTTTGCTGCAGCCCTCCTTCAAAGCTACCTTTTGCTTGCCTTCTGCATCCACAATAAATTGGTATTTTATCAAAATCTCAATATGATCTAGTGCAGTATCCATTTCCTAGTAAGCGCAACATTTGGTAAAGAGAACATGTGTGAAACTATCATCCTGAATTAAGTATTTGGTGGAGCTGCAGAGATATGTCATCCTTTAAACTATCTCCCAGCCATAATACAAACATTATTGTTCAAATTAAAATAAACCAATGATCATTTTAATATAGGCCTATATTTGAATAATTATGTGAATAATGTAATTCTAATTGTTCTATTACTGCGAATCATAATGAAATTGCAATTAGTCATTTTTTCTAAGTTATGCAGCCTTACCCTCATCCCCCCCCCTGCAGAGGCGGAGGCCCAGCAGCAGGCTCTGGCGGCGGTGCAGGCCGCGGTGCAGGGCCTGTCCCCAGAGCAGCAGCTGGAGGTGAGGAACCAGCTGGACGAGGTGCTGAGCTGTGTGTCCTCACTGCGCTCAGAGGTGGCCGAGCTGAGGGGGGGGCTGCAGGACATCGCCATGCAGATCATCCAGGATGTCAAGTGAGTTGCCGTGGTGATGTGAAGCGTCTGACTCTGACCTACTTAGCCTTTATAATAATAATAATATAATACATGTTATTTATATAGCGCTTTTCCTGGTGCAGAAAGCGCTTAATTAATGTATATATTATGTATCATACCAGGGCAGGACTTTTATCCAACACTCTTCTCATCAACAATATCTTACTTGAACTTAGTACCCTGGAGTACAGTCGATCATGACATCCTGATCTCTTGCTTGGAGCAGTGGGTGGGCATTGAGGGGAAAGCCCTGGAATGGTTCAGGTCATATCTGAAGGACAGAACTTTCTCTGTCAGCCTTGGTGACTCCGAGTCATCCTCTGCTCCACTCCTGTATGGGGTCCCACAGGGCTCAGTATTAGGCCCCCTGCTATTTCCCTCTATTTGCTCCCTCTTGGGTCCATACTTAGAAAGCACGGCATCGCATTGCACTGCTATGCTGATTTATGTCCCACTAACAAAGAAGGAGGATTACTCAATTAGCCCACTGCTAAAGTGCCTAGAGGACATAAGGCCTGGATGGCGTGCAACTTCCTAAAACTGAATGAAGGAAAAACAGAAGTAATGGTTTTTGGTAGCACCACTGGCACCACTTCTGTAGACCTGGGTTCCTTGGCTCAGTACACCAAGCCCACCATTACGAACCTTGGCATTAAAATAGACCCTGAACTAAAACTTGAGATTAAATCTGTGGTAAAAACGAGCTTTTCTCACCTGAGGCAGCTAGCCAAAGTAAAACCTTTTCTCTCCAGACAGCGGTTTGAGACAGTAATCCACGCCTTTGTCACCACTCGGCTGGATTACTGTAACTCTCTACATGGGGGTCAGTGGGTCCTCCCTCGCTCGTCTGCAGCGGGTGCAAAATGCCGCAGCAAGGCTTTTAACTGGCACACGGAAATATGACCACATTTCCCCCATTTTGGCTTCGCTCCATTGGCTGCCAATACATTTTAGGACTCATTTCAAAATCCTTTTATTTACTTTTAAATCCCTAAATGGCATGACCCCACCATATCTTTCTGAGCTGCTATACCCTTACACGCCCAATCGCCCTCTCAGGTCAGCGGATCAACTGCTCCTGAACGTGCCCAGAACCAAGTCAAAGCTCAGAGGGGGCCGTTGCTTCTCTGTAGCGGCTCCCACACTGTGGAACGATCTGCCCCTGCACATCAGACAGGCTCCCACACTGTGGAACGATCTGCCCCTGCACATCAGACAGGCTCCCACACTGTGGAACGATCTGCCCCCTGCACATCAGACAGGCTTCCACACTGTGGAACGATCTGCCCCTGCACATCAGACAGGCCGCCACACTGTGGAACGACCTGCCCCTGCACATCAGACAGGCTCCCACACTGTGGAACGACCTGCCCCTGCACATCAGACAGGCTCCCACACTGTGGAACGACCTGCCCCTGCACATCAGACAGGCTCCCACACTGTGGAACGACCTGCCCCTGCACATCAGACAGGCTCCACACTGTGGAACGACCTGCCCCTGCACATCAGACAGGCTCCCACACTGTGGAACGACCTGCCCCTGCACATCAGACAGGCTCCCACACTGTGGAACGACCTGCCCCTGCACATCAGACAGGCCGCCACACTGTGGAACGACCTGCCCCTGCATATCAGACAGGCTCCCACACTGTGGAACGACCTGCCCCTGCATATCAGACAGGCTCCCACACTGTGGAACGACCTGCCCCTGCACATCAGACAGGCTCCCACACTGTGGAACGACCTGCCCCTGCACATCAGACAGGCCGCCACACTGTGGAACGACCTGCCCCTGCATATCAGACAGGCCGCCACACTGTGGAACGACCTGCCCCTGCATATCAGACAGGCCGCCACACTGCCTGCTTTTAAATCGCTTCTTAAAACCCACCTCTTCTCCTTAGCGTATTAACATCTTTTAGAGCGTTGCTTTTAAATTGTCTATTGTTTTTACTTGTACTTGTTTTATGCTGTGTGATTTTTGGTATGTTTTGTTATGTTTATTTGACTGTACAGCACTTTGGTCTGGAGGTTTAAAGTGCTCTATAAATAAAGCTGTATTGTATTGATCCTTTGATTTCAAATAAGTTTGATCATTTCCAGGCTATATATCTGGGGAATGTTGATTTTTTTTAAATTTGTATTTCAATCAATGGGCATTACGGAAAGTAAGGAATTATATCGGACATTATGAATATTTGATGATTTAAAATTGAAAATAGATCTTGAATAAAAGTTTAAAAAAATAATAGAGTTGCTTACTAATGACACAAATAAAAGACCTACAAAGAAAAACCCATATTCAGATTAAATAATGTATTTGCTCTTGTCCCAAAAAAGTAACAGTAACTTTATGGCACAATATTAAGCAACCACGTCAAAGTCATGACACATGTAAGGATCAGTTACTAAGGATTGACCTAAAACTGCTCAGTAGGGGGATACAAATGAAGTGAACTCCTCATTGCTCTGAAGTTGTATGAAGCAACCACAAGTCGCATGATTTCACGTCATTATCGCTAGGGGTATTTAATGAGGGGTATTTAATGATGTATTTTATGTCGTAAAACAAAAGGTGAACACCTTATTTCACGCATCTAGCAAAAAACACGTAAAACAATTGACATTGAAGAGAGCGAACCTTTTTTAAGTGGGACTGGTCCTCCACCTTGGTGTTGTGTAGCTAACGTGAATGTTTGGTCCTTCTTCCCCACATTCAGGAAGGGAGTGGAGGAAAGTCAGCGGGTGCGTCGGCGGCGCCACGTGGTCCACAGGGAGCGCACCGAGTCCACCGGCTCCAGCTCCATCTACTTCACTGCCAGCCAGGGTATGGCCAGCGCATATGAGACCAGCGAAGGAGGGTACGTCTGCCGGTTGTGCTTGATGTGTTGGGGTGGCATGTCTGTTCTGCCTGGGGCCCCCAGAGTGTCTTGGGGCACCGCTGCTTATACCTGGTGCACAATCACATAATATCCTAATTGATATGATGGATCAGCAGTAAGATCTCCTAAAGCTGGTTTTATTGATTGTTTTAGCAATACTCCTCTGGGTTGTTTTGTAGTCATTTGATCCATTGTCATATGTTAGAACATATTAATTAGTGCATCTTAAAAGTTGTGAACTTGTTAGTGGCCTTGGTTTGTGGTGCAAATATCATTTTAATTCTTGACACCCGTAGAAGCCTGGAGTAATAATCTGTGGGTCGAGTAGTCATGTTACATTACGAAGGATCAACTGTTGGGGTTTGTAAAGGCCTCTTAACAAGCTCCATCAGATCAATCCTGTGAGACTGTGTCACTGCCTGAGTGTGAACAGTTTCATAGAGACTGCTCTCTAATGAGGAATGAGACCCTTTAAGCCCATTTCATTCACTTCCATCTTACTGGTGCAGATATATCAGAACCTGAGCAAGTCAAAGAAATGTATCTGCAGGGAGATCCAGTCGAGGGAAGAGTTTGTTTTTCCTTATTGGGGTGAACTGACCTTTTGAAATGTACTGAATGCAGAATAAAGCTTAAGATAAAGATAAGATGGGATGTAGGGCAGGTCTTTCTCACGCAGCATGCTAAAACAAGGCATTGCAAATCATGTGACAATTACAAGTAGAAAATAAACAAATAGAAACATCTCAAAATAGAAAAGAAAACAGAACTAAAAAGTAAGACGTACAACTTGACAGTGAAAGATGAATATGAAGACTATCCGTCAAATAAACACTATGAAGGGCCAATTTACAGCTAACACAATTTAAAAGTAGGATATTATTACATTTAGTGAGCAAGGAATAGCATATAAAATATAAATGTACAGTGTGAAGAAAGTTCCAGTCCAGTTATCAAAAGAACAAATATAATAATTTAATAGATCAATATCATGTGAAATTCCAAATGTGTGGTTATTGGAATACATTTCTTAATAATTGAAATCACCAAATAAATAAATCCCTAAATAAAAGGATGTTGGTCGCAGGTACTCGACGGCCTACGCTGAGTCGGACTACACAGACAGAGACACAGACAGGGAGGGGGGGCGGGAGCCGGAGCAGGAGTCTGAGGAAGACGAGGACCGGAGCTGCGCCACCGTCCTCACCCTCCGCCAGGAACACTCCCAGGAAGAGGAGGCGGAGGAGCGAGGGCTGGAGGAGGAGGACGAGGAGGAGGAGGACGAGGAGGGGGGGCTGACGCTGCTGACTGAAGTCCCCAGTGGGGAGCTGGCTCTCCTCCTGGCTCAGAGTGACGTCCTGCACACGGGGGACGCCCGTCTGAAGGCCGAGGGCTTCAGACTGCTGCTGGACAACAGAGCAGAGGTGAGGACAGGAGGCCTCCATCCTTTTACCAACCCAGTTCAGATGTAGCTCTGCGTATAAACCAAAGAGAACGTCCCCGTCCCCACGTTAACAATCACCTCTTCTATAGCTGGGGGAAACCCATATGGGGGGGAATCAGCCAGTGGAAAACGTGCCTATGTTCTATTCCTCTGTTTGTGTTGGAGAGTCAACAAAGTACATTTACTCAAATACTGTACTCATGTACAAAAGGAGACAAAACAAAAAGACGCTCTGACGCTCTCTGACTCTATGATGCTCCGACGCTCCGACTCAATGCCGCTCTGATGTTCTGACGCTCTGACTCTATGGACGCTCTGACGCGTCCGACTCTATGACGCTCTGACGCTCTGCGCTCTGACTCTATGACGCTCTGACGTTCTGACGCTCTGACTCTTGACGCTCTGAACTCTATGACGCTCCGACTCTATGACGCTCCGACTCTATGACGTTCTGACGCTCTGACTCTATGACGCTCTGACTCTATGACGCTCTGACTCTATGACGCTCTGACTCTATGACGCTCTGACGTTCTGACGCTCTGACTCTATGACGCTCTGACGCTCTGACTCTCTGACGCTATGACGCTCCGACTCTATGACGCTCCGACGCTCCGACTCTATGACGCTCTGACGCTCTGACTCTATGACGCTCTGACTCTCTGACGCTCTGACTCTCTGACGCTCTGACGCTCTGACGCTCTGACTCTATGACGCTCTGATGTTCTGACGCTCTGACGCTGTGACTCTCTGACGCTCCGACTCTATGACGCTCCAACGCTCCGACTCTATGACGATCTGACGCTCCGACTCTATGACGCTCTGACGCTCTGACTCTCTGACGCTCCGACTCTATGACGCTCCGACGCTCCGACTTCTATGACGATCTGACGCTCCCGACTCTATGACGTTCTGACGCTCTGACTCTATGACGCTCTGATGTTCTGACGCTCTGACGCTAACTCTATGACGCTCCGACTCTATGACGCTCCGACGCTCCGACTCTATGACGCTCCGACGCTCCGACTCTATGACGCTCCGACTCTATTGACTATATGACGCTCTGACGCTCCGACTCTATGACGCTCCGACGCTCCGACTCTATGACTATATGACGCTCTGACGCTCTGACTCTATTGACGCTCTGACTCTATGACTCTCTGACGCTCTGACTCTATGGACGCTCTCACTCTATGACTCTCTGACGCTTGACTCTATGACTCTATGACGCTCTGACGCTCTGACTCTATGACGCTCTGACTCTATGACTCTCTGACGCTCTGACGCTCTGACTCTATGACGCTCTGACGTTCTGACTCTATGACTGCTCTGACGCTCTGATGTTCTGACGCTCTGACTCTATGACGCTCTGACGCTCTGACTCATGACGCTCTGACTCTATGACTCTCTGACGCTCTGACGCTCTGACTCTATGACGCTCTGACTCTATGACTCTCTGACGCTCTGACTCTATGACTCTATGACGCTCTGCTCTATGACTCTATGACGCTCTGACTCTATGACTCTCTGACGCTCTGACTCTATGACGCTCTGGACTCTATGACTCCTCTGACGCTCGACTCTTATGACGCTCTGACTCGATGACTCTGACGCTCTGACTCTATGACTCTATGACTGACTCTATGACTCTATGACTCTATGACTCTATCACTGACTCTATCACTGACTCTATGACTGACTCTATGACTCTATGACTCTATGACTCTATGACTCTATCACTGACTCTATGACTGACTCTATGACTCTATGACTCTATGACGCTCTGACTCTATGACGCTCTGACTCTATGACTCTCTGACGCTCTGACTCTATGACGCTCTCACTCTATGACTCTCTGACGCTCTGACTCTATGACTCTATGACGCTCTGACGCTCTGACTCTATGACGCTCTGACTCTATGACTCTCTGACGCTCTGACGCTCTGACTCTATGACGCTCTGACGTTCTGACTCTATGACTCTCTGACGCTCTGATGTTCTGACGCTCTGACTCTATGACGCTCTGACGCTCTGACTCTATGACGCTCTGACTCTATGACTCTCTGACGCTCTGACTCTATGACGCTCTGACTCTATGACTCTCTGACGCTCTGACTCTATGACTCTATGACGCTCTGACTCTATGACTCTATGACGCTCTGACTCTATGACTCTCTGACGCTCTGACGCTCTGACTCTATGACGCTCTGACTCTATGACTCTCTGACGCTCTGACGCTCTGACTCTATGACGCTCTGACTCTATGACTCTGACGCTCTGACTCTATGACTCTATGACGCTCTGACTCTATGACTCTATGACTCTATGACTCTATGACTCTATGACGCTCTGACTCTATGACGCTCTGACTCTATGACTCTATGACTCTATGACTCTATGACGCTCTGACTCTATGACTCTCTGACTCTATGACTCTATGACTCTATGACGCTCTGACTCTATGACGCTCTGACTCTATGACTCTCTGACGCTCTGACGCTCTGACTCTATGACGCTCTGACGTTCTGACTCTATGACTCTCTGACGCTCTGATGTTCTGACGCTCTGACTCTATGACGCTCTGACGCTCTGACTCTATGACGCTCTGACTCTATGACTCTCTGACGCTCTGACGCTCTGACTCTATGACGCTCTGACTCTATGGACTCGCTGACGCTCTGACTCTATGACTCTATGACGCTATGACTCTATGACTCTTATGACGCTCTGACTCTATGACTCTCTGACGCTCTGATCTATGACGCTCTGACTCTATGACTCTCTGACGCTCTGACTCTATGACGCTCGACTCTATGACTCTATGACGCTCTGACTCTCTGACCCTCTGACGCTCTGACTCTATGCCGCTCTGAACTCTATGACTCTCTGACGCGTGCTGCTACTTCTGACTCTATGACGCTTCTGACTCTATGACTCTGCCGCTCTGACTCTATTGACTCTTTATGACTCTATGACTCTTATGACGCTCTGACTCTATGACGCTCTGACTCTATGACTCCTATGACGCTCTGACTCTCTGACGCTCTGACGCTCTGACTCTATGACGCTCTGACTTCTATGACTCTCTGACGCCTCTGACGTCTTGACTCTATGACGCTTGACTCCTATGACTCTATGACGCTCTGACTCTAGACTCTCTGGACTCTATGACTCTATGACGCTCTGACCTTTCTTATGACCTCTGACTCTATGACTGACGCTCTGACTCTATGACGCTCTGACTCTATGACGCTCTGACTCTATGACTCTATGACTCTATGACTCTATGACTCTATGACGCTCTGACTCTATGACTCTCTGACTCTATGACTCTATGACTCTATGACGCTCTGACTCTATGACGCTCTGACTCTATGACTCTCTGACGCTCTGACGCTCTGACTCTATGACGCTCTGACGTTCTGACTCTATGACGCTCTGACGCTCTGACGCTCTGACTCTATGACGCTCTGACTCTATGACTCTCTGACGCTCTGACTCTATGACTCTATGACGCTCTGACTCTATGACTCTATGACGCTCTGACTCTATGACTCTCTGACGCTCTGACTCTATGACGCTCTGACTCTATGACTCTCTGACGCTCTGACTCTATGACGCTCTGACTCTATGACTCTGACGCTCTGACTCTATGACTCTATGACGCTCTGACTCTATGACTCTATGACTCTATGACTCTATGACTTCTATGACGCTATGGACGCTCTGACTCTATGAACCTCTATGGACTCTATGACTCTATGGACTCTATGACTCATGACTCTATGACGCTCTGACTCTAGAATCTCTACGCTCTGACTCTATGACGCTCTACCTATGACTCTATGGACGCTCTGCTCTGACCTCTATGACAGATCTGACTCTATGACGCTCTGACGCTCTGACTCTATGACGCTCTGACTCTATGACTCTCTGACGCTCTGACGCTCTGACTCTATGACGCTCTGACGTTCTGACTCTATGACTCTCTGACGCTCTGATGTTCTGACGCTCTGACTCTATGACGCTCTGACGCTCTGACTCTATGACGCTCTGACTCTATGAACTCTCTGACGCTCTGACGCTCTGACTCTATGACGCTCTGACTCTATGACTCTCTGACGCTCTGACTCTATGACTCTATGACGCTCTGACTCTCTGACTCTATGACGCTCTGACTCTATGACGCTCTGACGCTCTGACTCTATGACGCTCTGACTCTATGACTCTCTGACGCTCTGACGCTCTGACTCTATGACGCTCTGACTCTATGACTCTGACGCTCTGACTCTATGACTCTATGACGCTCTGACTCTATGACTCTATGACTCTATGACTCTATGACTCTATGACGCTCTGACTCTATGACGCTCTGACTCTATGACTCTATGACTCTATGACTCTATGACTCTATGACGCTCTGACTCTATGACTCTATGACTCTATGACTCTATGACTCTATGACGTCTGGACTCTATGACGCTCTGACTCTATGACTCTATGACGCTCTGACTCTATGACGCTTGACTCTATGACTCTCTGACGCTCTGACGCTGACTCTATGACGCTCTGACGTTCTGACTCTATGACTCTCTGACGCTCTGATGTTCTGACGCTCTGACTCTATGACGCTCTGCCGCTCTGACTCTATGACGCTCTGACTCTATGACTCTCTGACGCTCTGACGCTCTGACTCTATGACGCTCTGACTCATGACTCTCTGACGCTCTGACTCTATGACTCTATGACGCTCTGGACTCTATGACTCTATGACGCTCTGACTCTATGACTCTCTGACGCTTGACTCTATGACGCTCTGACTCTATGACTCTCTGACGCTCTGCCTCTATGACTGACTCTATGACTGACTCTATGACTCTATGACTCTATCACTGACTCTATGACTCTATGACTGACTCTATGACTGACTCTATGACTGACTCTATGACTCTATGACTGACTCTATGACTCTATGACTGACTC